CATAATCAGGTGTGTTAACAGAAAGACAGACTTCAGAGTTGTAAGACAGCAGCGCTCAAGGCCTAGAGATTCAGAGACTCAGGAAACCCTTGCAGGTGTTTTGACTTTTTTAGCGTGAAAAGTTTCACTTTTTCACAATAATGTTCTAATTTTCCAAGACTTTGACTTTTGGGGTTTTTTCATTATCTATAATCACTAAGCTAAGAAATGAACACTTGACATTTATAACGTCATGCGTAAGAGTCCATATAATGTATGAATTTCATTTTCTGAACTGAAAGTCACAGAGACATTTGCACTTTTCCATGACTTTCTAATTGTTTGTCTGGAGGTTCTGAAAGAGTGTCGAAGCAATCGGATATTTGTATGATGCAAAGTTATGTTTGATGGAAGCTGTTTTTGATATGAACATTTTTTATGATGACTTAAGTTAACATATTTGCTTGATTGCGGTATAAAATGGCGCCATGTGACTAGAAAAGTCATTATGCCCCCCCATTTAAAATCCCTTTGCGAGCTTTATCCCAGATTTTTATAAAACAAACAAAATACAAATAAATCTTGGACGACTTTACGCAACTGTTCAGTTATTTCTAACCTCGACTTGAACAATTTGGGCCAAGCGATAGGGGGGAAACTCCTGTTGACAAATGTTTTAACAAAAGAATCTGTCTTCTTTTGAATTTCTAAAGGGACTGTGTCAAAACGTCAGGTTTGTAACCTACTTCGATGCGTTCTCCTGGGCGTGTGCATCTTTTTTTGTAGCTTAAGACAACTTCGTTACAATATAGTCAACAAAGAATACATTGCATTCATGTGTTCCAGTGTCATTATGTCCTTCATTTGTCACCTAGAGGCCTTGCTGTGACAAGACAACATTTTTTGTCACGGTTGGCGTGGCGTGACCTGGCGAGTTGGCTGTGATTTATTGATATACAAACATCGCATTTTCTAAGGTAGACCTACATTCACCCTGGCATGTGTCAACATCAACGCGGAATGCCGTATTTTAACAGAGAGCCATTGTGTCTCATTCTGCAACACAAAGATGATGCATACTTGAACATTTTCTTGTCGATGTTGTATTTGTTGTTTGACTGCAATAGGCTGCAGCGAGCGTTCTCTGCAAGCGGTCCCCTTTCCAGTCTGACAGAGTGAGTTGTGGCAGCAGCCCATGTGAGGAGGTACCGTCCTGCTGAAATGGTGCAAGGAATGTCCAACCTTTAACTCTGCATTGACTCTCGCAGTCCAACAATTTGACAAACGTGGCTGCTGGAAAGTTCCACTCAATTCCTTTCCAAATAAAGATGAAGACTTAAAATAAAAAAAAAGAATGAGGAACTTTAGTATAAGATTTAATCTTCACTTCTTTGTTTTCACACTTAGGACTTCCCTGTGCTGTCGTTGGTAGTGATTAGGCCACTATGCTCGTAGTTGGCTTTTTTTTTTTCTTTTTTAATTTTGAAAAAGTTGAGATTTCAAAACCACAATATTTCTCTTACATCATTTTTCGAGTTTAAAGTCCTTTTGCCTTTACTGCGACAGGCTGTGCAGCCATGACTGGGCTTTGTTTCAGCCTTACAAAGTTTAGAGAAACGAAGCGAGCCGGTGTCTGGGCCAGATTAAAATTACGGGAATAAAGCCACGGCATTACAAGAATGAAGTCGTACATGAATAAAGTCAATAATAATAGTACAAACATAAACTCATAACATTTTGACAAAGTCAAAATAATATGAGAATAAAATAATATTTTGTGAATAAAGTCATTATTACAAGAACAAAGTATTACCAATATAAAGTTGTAATATTGTATGTATGGAAGTATTGCAACTACTTGAGAATTGCTGCAAAATTCAGTGTCAGCAATGCATGGAAGATATAACTTTTTCTTTTCTTTTTTGCTTAAATTATTTTGTAAATGTTGCCGCAGTGCAATTGTAGTATTTTCACCCAAAGTTACCATCCGCTGAGACCGGCTAGGGCCTCGACGGAGCAAAAACATGTTTTAGAAGCATTTAATCTAATCAAATAATCGAGTGGCCCATCCACCCCCCATAGTAAATAAATGCATTTTGATTGTGACCCATTCATCCATCCAGTTTACTTCAATTTGGGGCCCAGTTCGTGTTGTCGGCTGAATACTTATTCCGTTGCCGCCAGACCAAAGAAGCAGTAACTTTACCGTAACGCCTGCTGAAACCAATCTGAAGTTTCTCTGATGGGGTTCAAGACTGAGCTACCAACACCAGTTCTTCAGAAATCTCACAAATAAATTCAGTGGCGAACATGTCGCCAGAATCCAGCGAGACATGAACTTCCTCTTATTGGCATGGCAGACAGGCTCCAATCATAAAAACCCATAGATTTTCCTCAGATCTCTGAGAAACATCCTCCTCTAGTTTATCTACAGATATCACCGATGTCACAGCATATGTGTTACATAACACAAAATAACAAAACGCTAATTACCAAAGAATGCTTTCACAATGCTGATTTGACAGAGAAGCTTAAGAGGATTAGAGCAAATGGATTTCACCCGTTTGACTCATCCAATTTTCTGGTTTCTATTTTTGCATCGCCACAGGTTCAGGTGTTTCGACAGGGACGGAGCCCCACCCTTCGGATTCACTGACAGGCAGATGCCACGGAGCCGGACAAATGCAAGAGTTTGTTCTGAGGAGACTAAACGGAACGTCATTCAACACCAATTGAACTTCCTGGTGGAAGCCTTCGCTCTGCACGTCTGTGGACATTTTTAACACCAACCTTGAATTGACCGTTTTCGGTTCTCTGGCTCCCATTAAGCCGGGCTGCTGGTTTGTTTTTAAAGGTGCTTTTAAAAACTTTGAGACATTTGGAAAGTTTTCAGAAACGTTTAATGGAGCTTGACTGGCTTCACTCAAAAAGACTAAGAATGTTATTGTTATGGGGCGTTAAATATTTTTGTTGCCTGTAAGTAAAAAATTTGCATACCAGTAAAAGGTTTTCAAACATCCACTTGTGCAAAATTATCCTATATAACGTGTTGCATTCAGTGATAAAATTTCAGAAATTAATGTTTAGCTTTTCAAAGCAAAAGTCTCAGTTATAAATTGGGCTGTAAATGCACGGTACACCTTTCAGATTTTGATATTCCATTATTTTCCATCCGCATCACATTTCTGCACTAATTAATTTGTGCTGATGTGTGAAGGAATCAAAACACATTATGAAAATTTTCTTCTACAGTGATTTACTGTGTTGAGTTGTAATGAACATTTTATTTATATATTGCCGTGTAACATTGACTACAAATACATATTGCATACATGGCAGGCTAAAATCCTGAACTTAATTATTTTCTAAATGACAAATATGTTCTCTTTTTCTGCTTTGTATGAAATTTCAAGATACCCAAAATCTAAACTACATGTTGTAAAAAACACTATTTGGTTGATCCAGTTGTTAATCCAGTTCACAAACTCCTGGAAGGGATACAAAACAACTAAAAACTCCAGAAATATTTTTGCCAACTTCCTCCTTCCTTATTGATAATCATCGGCATCTTTCATCAGCTGCAAAACCCAGTTATTTTGAGAGCTTATTTTTGTTTGACTTCAATTTTTTTTTCTGCTTTGTTCATGTGTGTTCTTCCCCATTACAGTGAAATCTTAATCTGAGCTTCTTTGGCAGAAATCCTACGTACACCAGCAGCAGCGTATGAACCACTTTTTTAGACACACAAAAGCTACTACAAGGTTGGTCCCTGTTTTGCATCTGCATCTCGCAATTGCAATGTTTCCGCTGAATAAGAAACACAATTAAAATCACGTGCGAATGCCATCGTCCCCCTGCCACTTGTTGTCGCCTGCCTTCGTCTTTCCCGAAGACGCCACTTGCTGATCACCTGACTCGTGGCGTGAAAAGCGCTCCCATTGCAATTTTGCGAAATATGCCATCGTCAATCCCAATCTACGCAATGCCAAGCTCCCATCTCACTACATCCCAAATGGTCTCGTTTGGATTGAGGTGGTCATGGGAGCAACGGCGAAGTCATGCCTAAGAAACCAAATTGAGATTATTTGAGCTACTTGTGATTTGGTGTGACATAGTTCTGGATCAGTTGTTACTTTAGTGTCCTGTAAAAATACCCTCCACACCATTAGAGTCCATTGCCAGCCAAAACGTTTGCTACCAGCCAGCATGCACACGATTTCTCAGAGGAGGTTTTGACCTGCTGCCTGCACATGATATCAAATCTCAGTGTCTCAGGCAATGTTTTTCCAATTTGTCATCGCCCAGCTTTAGTGAGTCGATAAATTTCTGTTTCTTAATTTTCTGCTTCCTGGTTGACGGGACTGACACCTGGTGGGGTCTTCTGCTGCTGTAGCCCATCTGCTTCGAAGCTCAACTTCTTGTGCGTTCAGTGATAATGTTCTGCATAGCTATCGTAGGTAGGTATTAAAGCAGGAAGAAATCCAATGAGCCCCGTAAACAGGTTCTGATGCAGCATTTTAGCAGCCTAATTCAAGATGAGAAACCTGTTGTGGTGCACAATCAACTCAAGTGGCTGACATGTCAGTAGATTTGCACAATATGTTCCAACATCTTCGCAACACATTTAGAAATTTGTGTTTCTGAGAAATGCAGAAACATTGATTTGACGTCCAGATATGACTATTTTTGATGCTATTCCCTTTGCGGGACTGCTCTCCTGTTCAAGACCAATCACTGGAATGTCTGTGAAAGGTTACGCAAAACGTCACGTGTTTAAATGAAATAATAATAATGGTAATAATTGCATACATAATTATGTCGAAATAGGGAATATGATGGGAGCAATTGTTTCACCGTTCCAGAGTCATGATTAATTCAATGATGTTTTCTTTTCTTTCCCGGTCACGTAACTGAGGAACGAGTCGAACTGGTCGAACAATAAGAATCTCAGCAGGAAGTTGTTAAAGTAAACACCTCCTTTCTGCTACTTTATCACTTTGTCAAAACGACTCAAGGGACAAATGCGCGACTGACACGACGGGGCCTCGACAAGCTGCTGCAGTGACATAAAGGCGTCTTTCAAAGGGGATCTTTGACCCACACTGTCTTCTCGGCGTGTTTTCTGACCGCCTTTCCAAATTTATCGCCTTCTGGAGAACAAAAGGTAAGAGATGCTTTGGTTGAAATCCAGTTGTAATTATCTCATGATATTTAATCTTGATTTTTTGGGGGGGAAGTTTTTTTTCCTAATCATGTTGCTCAATTTTTCTGGTCATCTTTGTTATTGAGTGATTTCATGTGGAAGCCATAAAAACACTCTTTTTGATTTATGTTCAAATTTTTTTTGCATTATGGATGAAAATAGGACAGAATAACTAGCTGAAATAATGTCTGTTCTAATATTTTAATTTCTATTCTAACTATTATCGTGCTATAATTGACTTAGGAGGAGCAAATTTAAGATTTTCTTTGTTTTTTTTTTCTTCCCATATTATTTCAGGATGTCATGCCAATGAACTTTCTCCCGCCGTTCTTAAATGTATCGGGAGCTTTACTGCAACGCCTCGATGAATCGATGCAACAAGCCCACATTGTGATACTGAAACTTTTACTAATCTCAACAGTGTTAGCGACTCACAGCGTCGGCATGAGGCATGAAAGCAGCGTTCAACGCTGTTGAGATCAGTAAAAGTTTCAGTATCACAATGTGGGCTTGTTGCATCGATTCATCGAGGCGTTGCAGTAAAGCTCCCGATACATTTAAGAACGGCGGGAGAAAGTTCATTGGCATGACATCCTGAAATAATATGGGAAGAAAAAAAAAACAAAGAAAATCTTAAATTTATTGTTTTCAGGTTGCAAGTGAAAATGGCGCAGGTGGAAGTCCAAGACGAGAGCACCAAAAAACCGACAGAGGAAATCACGGAGGAGCAGTTCCTGAAAGATCTTTACTTTTTCATGAAGAAGCGGGACACGCCGATAGAGAGGATCCCCAATCTGGGCTTCAAGCAAAGTAATTATCTGCCTAAACGCTTGAGACGAATGTCAATATGCCCTAACTTTGTGTTTAATATATATATATATGTATATATATAGATCTATATATTCATATAGATCTATATATATATATATGCACATATTTGTATACCTCTATGAATTAAGAAATATTTTCAAGAAAATTATCCTACTGAATGTTTTATGTGGTGTATTTTTTCTCTCCTTGTGAATTCTTTGTATGATCTCAAAATTAAGAAAGAGGGGAAAACATAATCTAAGGCAACCAAATATGAAAAAAAGAACTGAACTGCAAAAAATGACAATACACTGATTTTACTTTTGAGTAATAATTATATACATATATTTATGGGGTTTTTTGTTGTTTTTTTCCAGTTGATTTATTTTTGATGTTCAAGACCGTCGATGACTTGGGTGGCTACCATCAGGTAATTCTGTTTTTCTTTATCATACATGGTAGAATCATTATTATTATTATAACAGTAGATGAAATGATTTATAAGGTTAAGCTATGTTTGTTTATGGGGATTGCTGAATTTTATAACCAAAAAATAGCCTAATTTCTTTGTTTATTTATTCATTCATTTTTTTAATTTTGCCTTACAGCATCTTCTAACGTCAAATTTTTGAAGACACATTTATTTTAGATGTCTGAATGGAAAGCGACTGAATTTTCTTTAGTTATTTGTAGTGACTGACATTGATTGTGCACTAAACCCTTCCTTCTTTATTTAGTAAAACTGTTATGGTGTGTATCTGTGATTTTAATGCCATCTCCAGACAAACAAACATGAACAAATCTCTCCTCCACACCCCAGGTGACATCTCATCAGCTGTGGAAACGGGTCTACAACACGCTGGGAGGAAACCCCCGCAGCACAAGTGCAGCCACTTGCACCCGCAGACACTATGAAAAGTGAGTGCGGTTATCTCCAAGAGCAGTACAACCGGGTGGTTTTATCGCGCTGGAAGCTTTCGTCTGACTCGGTCCCCTTTTGTTTAGGTTGCTTCTGCCTTACGAGTGTCAGCTGAAAGGCATATTGCTGAGCTCCATGCCGCAACATCAGTCGAGGCCCTACCGCGACCCCAAAGACAATATGGGCCTTAGGCCGACCAAACGTGGGCTCGTAATGCCGTCACTGGTTGGTTTCATTTCAAACTAATTTTGAGCTGTATTTAATAAGCTAATGATGTAAATAAAGTCGCTCTAATGCAAGGAAGAATTCATGGAACTACGTAGGAAGGCTTACTTTTGAATTTACAGACAAGAGAAAGGAATCTCACTGAGATAATCTCTGATTTCCCCAGGTAAACTGCTTCCAACCGGATCCACATGGGAATATCTACTCTCTCCCTTTCCCTTATTACCCAACTGGGTGGCCAGCTTACCCACTTCTGCCAAATGTTATGTCTATTTCGTCCCCTGTAACACCACCACATATCCCCCCTCCTCCCAAGATCCCATGTCTCCCCCCCAACCCGACTCATCAGGACACAGTGAACATGGTTGAAGAGCGTATAGATCACCTGCGTAGGCTGGCGAAGGAGTACAGGCACTCAACTGGATTGTCAGCCTCTGAACCCCTGAACCTGAGCACGAAAGCTCCAGCTCGAGAGCCCGACATCAACACTGACCCTCCCTCGTCATTCGGCCCACCTTCGTCCAGCAAGACCCCAAAGTTTCTGAACAAGCCGTCCACGCTCTACTCCCCCCTTAGCTCAGGCGTAATAAAAAGTGACGGAAGCGAGACCCATGAGTCTGTCGAAAGTGTCCCAATCCTCTCTGAGTCCAAGAACAAAGAGAGCAGCGACACCAACGTCCAACCCCCGACGCCCTCAGACAGCCCCATATTAATTTCTGCTCTGACGCCAGAACCAAACAAAGACGTCCTCGAGACAACACCGAAACCCGGCTCTCTGAAAGCAGACTCTCCAGTCCAGCCGCCAGAGGACAGAGAGGCCAGGACGGAAGCGGAGGGTTTCAATCTCAGTCACGTTCTTCATAGGATACCCAAAGACGAGGAGGGCAAGATGGAAATCGAGGTACCGCTGTCCGTGGTTCGTAACTGGCTGAGGTTTTACGGTCCTTCAGCGAAGCTGCCCGAAGCGAAACAGCTTCCCGTCCCAGATTACGACGTCTCTGTGGGGAAAAAACGTGTGTTGGATGTAGACATTCTCCCGAAAGACCACAAAACACCTCATAGTCCTCAACGCCAGAGCTCAGCTGAGGACCTGAGACTATGGAACAAACCAGGACTCAATCCAAACGCTCAGGCAGATCATCAGCAGGAGAGCCACCTCCCCAGCTGCAAGACTTCCGGTGGTCTTCTGAGAAAAGTCGAAGGTGGCCGGAACGTCTGGCCACTCAACCAGCAGGATATCAACAAGCCATACAAGCTCAAGACAACAGAGTTCAGAGATGCCTGTTCCAAAGAGACGATGGCTCCTCGCAGCCCGGTGAAACCCGAATGCAGTCCTCCAAGAAGGTCTTCCAAGTTCCAAGTGGAAGACCTGCTGCAACGAGGGAGGCAGAGGCTGGAAGTGGAGCCTTCAGCCGTGCTGATGCTGAACTCCAGCCCCGCGTCCGTGTTTCCTCTGACCACCGACCAGATGATGAAGCTGCAGAACATCATCTCAAGTTCATCGTGACGATCAGGGAAGGACCCCCAACACCACATTTAAGCTGCCTCCCATTATTAACTCAACTCGAAGCGTCTTATTAGCGTCGTTGCGCATCCGGACGACGTCTGTGCGCCATTAATGAAGATTAGCAGGACGGCAAAGTCAGCATTTTGAATGGATACATTGTAATCAAAGTAATTTGCATGATTTTCAGTATTAATGGCACAAACATGAGGAAAAATATATATGCATAAACATTCTTATTTTTTCCCCCCACATTTATAATGTGAAGAATGATTAGTTTCATTTGTCAAGATCTTTGAATAAAATAAACAGCAGGGGAAATAATTCCTATTATACTTCATAAACCCAGTGTCATAATAAATATCAGAAGATGGAGGTTAAAGTCATGCATATTAAAAAGTAAAAGATTTAAACTCTTATTCTGCTTAGAATTAAGAGATTATTCTTTCATTTAACATATGGAAATTACTGTAAAGATGTAAATAATTTTTTTTAAACTACGTTTTTATTATTTTTCCCTAATACAGTTTTTTTTATTATTATTAAACTTTCCACGTCTTTCTTTTGAAATGTGTGAAATAAAAAAAAATGAATGTAATTCTAACAGTGAGAAAATTAAAGGCACAATGTAGCAGAATGTGATTTGAAGAAAATGTCTTCATCAACATTAAATTATCCTGTAAATGTATGTGACTTGTACACAAATTTGATTGTGAAAATCAAATAAATGCCATTAAAAATCTGATTGGCTCGCTCGTGGAATGAAGAACTTGTTACTAACGTTTTTATTTTCCATTTGTCTCTTTTGATTTGCTTGGCATATTTGCTTGACGGCGGCTGTGTGAAGTGCGTGCCCACAGAAAGCAATAACAAAAACAAACGGAGCTGCATATTTTTCTGCCAGTGGTTTCTACCTGATTGCTCAGGGATACTTTTTTTTTTATTATTATTTTTTTTGTTCAGTGTGGGAAGGTACTTTGATTCGTTTGCTGCAAGGAAGAGCTATACATAGAAATCAACACTTAAATTAGCCACAGTGAGAGGGGAAAAAAGTTTTTATGCAAGAAAGCAAATATCTGGATTCAGATCTTGGTTATTTATAGGCAAAATCAGATTGAGACAAAATGTTCAGAACAACTTTTTGTTTGAAAAGCATTACGAACAAAAGGCGTGGCGCAGTTGGTAACCCTAACCCTTTGCAGCAAGAAGGTCCTGGGTTCAATTCCCAGCCTGGAGTCCTTCTGCATGGAAAGACTCCCTGTGCATGCACGGGTTCTCTCCGGGTACTCCGGCTTCCTCTCACAGTCCAAAAAACATGACTGTCAGGTCAATTGGTCTCTCTAAATTCATGTGCATAATTGTTTGTCCTGTTTGTCCCTGTGACAGACTGGCGATCTGTCCATGGTGACCCCGCCTCTCGCTCAGAACCATTAGGGTCAAGGGTGATGGATGAAAATGAATGGATGCATATCAACAAAAGAATTACAGTATGAAAAGTTTGAATTGGTGCGACACTGCTATGACTGCAGGAAACATTCATGTAATTCAATATATACACATTAACGTGTCTAATTCCTCCCATTCCTTGGAAGACCTTTTTTAATTTTATTTTATGAAACATTTAAGGAAGAAATCCCCCTGCATCAAGCAAACTTTTTTCATCTTTAGTATTTCAGCTTATTGTCTGAACACCGGCACGACACGTGCAACCTGTTCAGTCACTGTCCGGGCCTCGGATACAACTGTCTCATCCCAAAACAAAATACCTGCATAGATCTGCGGTGAGACAATAACATGCAGGCAGAGGCGATACGCCCTGAGACTCTAACCGAACCGGCGCTGAATATAGCGTGCATATCGTCTGCTGACGTGACAGACGTATTGTTTTTATCACCCTTCGTGTTGATCTACACTTTGGAATCTCTTTCAGGCGGACTGAGCTTTAAAACTATCAACAGCAGAAGCGACGAGGAGGACACTTTTACTGTGCAAGCTATTAAACACTTCTCTGGTGAGATTTGGTGACGTGTTCAGAAGGAATCCGATAGTCAAAGAGATAATGGCTGCGTACAGGTCCCGACATGCTTTGTGCTGTCACTTCAATTAAGTTGTTCCTTTGCTGATGGAGCTATAAGCTTAGGTACACAAATGGTTCAAGGAAGATGTGTCATATCAACAATCTATTACCCTTGATATCCTATGCTGGTATTACAGAATCAAGCATATTGAATGCTTAATTCCAGAGCTATAAACGTAATATGACTGAGTTTTTCCTCAATTTTTCTATTTTCATACATGCTACACTGCAACCAGAGTTCTTAGTTTCTGAGTGCAAAATGTTAGAACCCTTGAATTAAGACAAAAAGAGAAATGAAAACCAACAAGGAACTTTTCTGCAAGATGTAAGAGCTTGTTTTAAGTCAATTCTCAACAGGTTTGATATTAAACGAAGTCAAAGAGAGTCCCGAAGACCCAGTGGTCACTGGTAGAAGCGTCAGAGACACCTGGAATGAGGACGAACAGTTAAAGAGAAGTAGTGCACTCAAACGTAATGGCCTCCACACACACACGTACACACACACTCGTTCAATACACATTAGCTTTGTTTCAATCGACCATACGATTGCACAATTTAACATTTAAAATTTTGGTCTTCACATTGGAAACGCCAATTTTGACCAAAAAAAAAGAAAAAAAGTCTTTGTTTTTTGATAAGTTTTGGCATTAGGGTGAGGTGGCGTTTTTTCTATTGGTCATAATCTAAATTGGTTTATTTTCCAAAATGGCAACAGAAACACTTTTTTCACATCACCCAAGTCACATGATCAATACCTGGATGCCACTGGCGCAAACTCAGCAATTGCAAAATTGTGAGGGTTTTTTGTTGTTGTTTTTGTTTTGTATCAACGGAATATTGACAAAGTTTTGCGCACATTAAAACAGCTGCTGCTTATACTAGATGTGCACTGCACGTCGCCCACAAGACATGCAGTTTGGAAGTGGGACCATTACAACGTGGGACTGTTTTCCAGCACCGGCAGACTTCCTGTACTTGAAGAGAAGATGGGTGTAGAAGTGTACCGGGGTTTTCTCGGCCAGAGTTCGAAGGTGAAAAAACAGAACGAATTTTCCAGCAAGACAATAATCTGAAGAAAACCTTAAGCTGATTTCGAAACACAGCCACAGCGGCCCAGTCAGTGACGTCACACGACTCCATTAGAGTCCATTATCTACAGAGATAACAGAGTCAGGTCAGAGTGCATAGGAGATTTAAAGAGAGTGGATCAAACTCACACCCAGTATGAGGTATTAAAAACATTTCAGTAAAAGCGTTTAATAATTAATCCTTGTATTATTCAACTTCACTGCACATAATTTGATCTGTGGAATTTTGTTTTGATTTCTTTTGGTGTGCGGATTAACCAGGCTGCTACCCAGATACGGTTTGAACTTTCTTCACTGTTTTTATTTTATTATTATTATTTTTATTTCCATCAAGCGTGTTTACATTCCGCAAAGTTACACCTGGAATACAATGTAAACAATGCATCAATAAGCTTGCCAATGGGTGGGGTGATGTCAACTTACAGAAAAAAAAAAAAAAAAAGTGTTCGGACTGACGCCTCGTGAGTCAGCAGCCTGACTGCCTTTGGTTTCAGGATGAGAGTCTGAAAGCCGCAGGGTGACATCTGACAGAACCCTTTATTTATAGCTAATCGTAAAATGAAATGTATTGCGACTGGAAATACTAATTTATCAGAAGGACAATTTATGTGCACAACAAAAAAAAGAAATGTTTATTCCCTCTGGTTCGCCCTTTTTTTTATTTTCACAACACAAATGCCAACAGATTTGTAGACAAGTGTATCATTTCCTTAAACTTAACTAGTATTTTTTTTGTGACTTTCTTTCCTCTTTAAATTTGCAAACCAACATTCAGTGAAGTCCTGGATTTGCGTACGGGCAGAGAAAACGAACGGCGCGCCTCATCTCCGTCATTCGTCATGTTCTTGTCCATTTCGACCAGGTCTGAAAACCGCAGGCGAGGAGAATGGGAGCAATCGTCTGCCTGCCGCCGTATCTCTGTCAGGATGACTAATAGCTGGAAAGGAGAAGAAGAAAAGAAAAATGGTCACTGAAGTCGAGCGCTAAACAATGAATTAGTGTCCTGAATTGACTCTAAAGAGGCCTTGCTGAGGCCATCCTGATTTATTTCAGACTTTTTAAACGTCCAATTCCTGTCCTGGCTGCTTAGCCGGACAGTATGGTGGATTTGGCAGCTTTATGTTTGTGCTGTTCCCTACAATATAAGGGAGGAAAGGGAATATGTTTTTGCATATTTAATTTCACTCTGCAACTGGGTCATGCAGTAAGAGACACAAGCTACGGTTTATTTTTTCTTAATGCCAGAGTGAGTGTTTGACGGCAGCCTTTGCCACCAACACGACTAATGACGACTCGAGCAGCCATTTTTTTCTCCACAATAAATAGAATCTGTACTAAAGACTCTGTGTTGTATTAACTTAAGGTTATCTTCGTCTGACGTTAACTTTTTTTTTTTTGATGACCTGAAATATGTCTCCATATAAGCCTAGTGTTATGTGTTGATCAAAGTCTTCTTCACAGATATTCAACAGTCCCTGCATAACTCGAAGGAGGAACTTCTTTTTTTTTTTCCTTGTGGTTTGCACACACCCCATTTAACAAGCCTGTCTTCTGAGAAAAACAAAACAAAAAAACATACATATCACAGTTGAAACTATGCAGACAGGCTCTTCTCCAACACCACAATTTGCTCTCATGTGGTGATTTGTAAGAATGAGGATATGAAGCAGATTTTTTTTTTTCTTTAACCTGATGAATCACTCTGACCAGGATGTCAATTTCTGGCCATCAGTTTAATGAAACATCTTGTTTTGTTTTAGCGACGGGACGAACAGGAGACGTCTATCGCCTTCTGCTTATGCAGTGATGAGATCAGAACGCGGCGCTGTCGCATTGTAACCTCACAAAATTGGAAATATCATTTTTAGACTTACTATACCACAATATTTTGTTGGAATCCCAACTTTGAAGCCGTGTTGATTTTTTTTTTCCTTCTTCAATTTACTTTATTTATTTGCATGGCACATCTCCATCTGTTCCATTTGTTGGCATTTTCATCTTCTTGGAAATTGTTTTGCAAATACATACTCAAAATTCAAAGCTGCCAAATAAAAAAACCAAACAAAACATACAAATTGATTGTAATTTTTTTTTTCTTTTTCTCACTGGCAGCATGACAGTCAAAGTGTCAAGGCCCAACAGGTTTTCTCTCAGTAGAGCACTAAACCTTTTTGCCAAGATATACAACTACTAGAAATGCAATGGACACACACACAAAAAAAGGGAAAAGAGGTTTAAAAGGAATACAGACAACACAAGTTGTCCTTGTGCTCTCGCTGCCTCTTCCTGTTTGTTTTAAACTTACTTTGCTGAAATGACTCACAGCAGAATGCACTCTGGTGGAAATGAGTGCTTTCAAGGTGAAGCAGGGGCCGCTGTTATAAAAGCCGATCTTTGTTGCCGTGTCCCATTGTCACCTCGCATATATCAAATATCAAACTTTGCGGTACAACCTGTTCTGTGTGACACCTGGCGACCAATCGGCGGATTTCTCTCAGTACATCTCACAGTCGAACAACGGGTGTCTTTCTTTCCAGACTTCGACTTACGACTTTTGTTTGCCGGCCTGAGTAACAACTTAAATTATGGGTTTGCTTTTTATGACTTGGACGACGTTGTGTTACAAAGCGCCATTGTGCTTCAAGCTCAGAAGGCATTTGTCGTGCCCGGCCCCAGTGACATCAGCGAAGGAATGCCACCGCTGACCTGACAAAGTCCATCATCTTCATCGACCCCTACTTATGTCGTTATTGTGAATGACATATTTAAGCTGTGACATAAAAAACATTTGTATATTTATTGGGAAGGCATCCTAATTGCTATAAATGGCAAGACAGAAATGTAATCAAGCTCTGTCACAAAGATGGCAAATTATGTTTCCGCTGCGGCTCGGAAAGGCATTCGTTTCCGTCGGGCCGTTTGTTTGTCGCGTCACAATTCAGTGGATCTTATTGGTGCTCATTGTGAATCAGCAACGTAAAGCCGTGCAATTTTTGTGAAGTGGACAGAAACTTCCGATATTGATGTTTAAAATTCTGAAAAGTGTGGCATGCATTTTATAGTTAACCATATTTTATGTTTATAAACCCCAAAATGAAACTGCCTTCAGAAGTGACGGAATTTGTAAACTGACTAGACACATATACATATATAAACATATATATATATATATATATATATATATATATATATATATATAATATATTATATATATATATATATATATATATATATATATAATATATATATATACTTATATATATATATATATATATATTTATTTTGCTACATTAGTCAACATATAAAGAGCACAAAAAAAAATAAATAAATAAATAAACATACCAGACAGTTCTGGGATGTACTAGCAGAGGAATGTTATGTTATAAAATCCTGGAGGGTTTTGTAATCTCGTGGGTATTTGTGGTGACGTTATCTCCCTGTGCATGCAGATGATGTTTTGGAGCCGATCTACAGACTTGCTGCTCGCCTTACACAACTTTAAAGTGTCTTTGTTGTTCCAGTTACAATAAAATAAAAACTGGAATTTAATTTTGAATCGAGTCAGAGCTGTGCAGAGTCACGGCCTCTGACGTTTTTTGAAAAGTTCGCTTTCGACAGGCTCTCTCTTTGAGACCGTGAAGCGATAGATAGCGTGGAGACGGGCCGGCGCAGAATTGAAATAAACAGAAATACCTGATATTCAGGCTGCAGCCGTTCAGGTTTTTTTCTTTTCTTTTCTTTTCCTGCTGCTCACTCTGATGAATACGTCTCACAGTTTACAATAGGAGCGGAAAGTTCTCCAAGAATGATGCTTTCATCAGACTATTATCAGCCTAAGCTTAAGTAGCGACGGCTAAATATAGATATTCTTTTTTTATATATAATGAAAATGTTCACTATAATACAAAACCAAGTCATCTGGAAGCAGCAAACACCTGCAGTGACGAGACGTCAGAGCTGACGTGAAGCATCTTTAAATCCTCTGACTCTGCTAAAGGAAAACAGAGAACTTGCCTTCACTCACTGAACAGGCAATAATAATTAAATTAGGTTGGTTTAATTTCAATATTTAATTTTCTTCTTTGTTTTCCTTTTTTTAGTCATAGGTCTCCATTTTGTTAAAGAGGCTATTAATAAACAAATTAACAAGGACCAAGAACATTTAAAATTTGTTTTGTTTGTTTTTTTTCTGTCATAGAATAATAGTAAACTGAATCGAATTCTTGTAAAATTGAACTTTGCTGTCAAACCAGTTTGATGTTCATAGATGTTTTCCATCAAATCTCACTGATTTTGCTCTACTTTGCATTGTGCACTGTGCATTTCTTTGAGGCAAAATCTCAAAGAAATGCAGCTGCCAGTGGAGCAAAAGACAGTTGTCCGATGCCTGACACTGATTTTTTTTTTGTAAAAAAAATAAAATAAAATAAAATAAATGACATCCAAATTCCCACAACCAATAGAGATTTGTGGTTGTGTCAAAAAAGCTAAAAGTGCGTGACTACACTAGCAAAGCACAAATCACATTTAAGATTGATAATACATTGGCTCTTAAGACACATTTCAAACCATTGTCTAAAATATGTCCGTTAAAGTCTTTGTGAGTTGATTGAAATCTTAGATTAGATGGAATCAATTCTGCCCGGTGTTGGAATGTTGAATGGATAGTTCTAGGAAGTGTTTTTACCAAGTTAGGAGTAACATGCTGCACTGTCTTGGATCAGGATTGTACCTGTAGATCGCCTCTACTTCTGCAACTACTTGTACGGCTTATTTAATGGCAACAATCGAGTATTTAAAAAAATATATATGTACATATTTATGCTACTGAATACGGTGAATTTAACATCATTGCCTTTGGGATGACGTTTGGGTTTTCTTGGCTGTGTGGGTCTCTTCTTTTCCGTATTACATTACAGTTGATCAACTACCGTATCGTAGGCCGCACGTAAGTTTTCTTTTTTTTAAGAGGAAGTCCAAAATGAATCTCCGGAGGGAAATTTTCAGATGAAATATGAGGAAACGGCAAGCTGCAGTTGGGTGATCTTTCTCCCCTCATTTGTTCAACATCGCCGCTTCTGAAGCAACTTTCAGTGACATTACTGGCGCCAGTCGATCCGTGCCGTGCGGTTCGGTGAATCTGCGGACTTGCCGATACAATTTTGCTATCTGCCGTGATGCGTTTAAGGCCTCAAATCAAACAAAAGAGAAACAGGAACAATGCATGCAGAAGTTTAAAAAAAAAAAAAAAAAAAACAGAACCTGCTTTATCGCTTTTAATACACTTTCCAATCCAGGAAGAAAATAGAAAAAGGGTGTGACTTTCACATCCAGATCTAATCAGATCCAGAGTATCTAGTTTAGATCCCCCCTGTGCGTGTTTGTGGGGGTTTTTTTTGTTGTTGTTGTTAATCACTCAGGCTTTGGCTTGCTGTTGACACCCATAACCACAGAAATCCTGTCCTGGTGTCTCTTCCAGACACCAGTAGTGGAAATTTCTACTTTCAGGAGACATTTTTCTTTTAAGTTTTAAAGTGGAAAATAGAGCAGCTCACAAATTTGATTGTCATGAAAGTAAACAAAGCCGAGACAGCGCCTCAAGCTTATAAATTTGAAATAAAATGAGCACACGGGAATGAATCTCTTAATTAATCTCTTTTGTTGACATTTTTGTGTAAATTGAAAACTCTAAATCTAACATCGGGTATTTAGCTAGAAACCGATTTTCTAGCGAAATTTACTTTAAACCTTCTCCGTTTTGCATGAGCCGCGTTCGTCCAGCTGTTGCAACGACTCAAGTGATTGTGCGCGTCAGCTGAGAGGATTTTCTGCGATTCATCCTGAGAGCAGAAACAGAAGCAGTGGTGTGACTGCTGAACCAATCATACCTTTCACTGTAGTAAGAGGACAGCAACGTTCGTATTTCATGAGACAAATCTGGAATGGCAGGACCTTTTCTCGGAGAGGAGGGAGTTACTGTAAAGGAAGAGGAAGACGGAGACAATGAATCCACCTGTCAAACTCAAATATTTCAAGCATAGCTCGCAGTGCCAGAAAACACCTGAAGGCGATGATATGATGATTGGAAATGAGGAAGTTTGAGAAAGGGGTTTTGTTGTTGGTGGTGGTGTTTTTCTGCCTCCCGCCCCCTCGTTCCCGTCACATGAAAACTCTGAAACTCTGAAACATCAAACTGCACCACAAACATGTTGCATGCAGTTTGATTGGCATGACTGACGTTTTTGTCAGTAGGCGTAAGAGATAGCACCTACTGACAATTTAGGTGATCATGGACCTTATGAGCTTTTTTGCCCCAAATCTAAAAATAACTGCAAATTGACAAAACTAAGCCTTTTTGCCGCATTTTGTGCACTAAACTACACTGTTTGCCTACAAATTTGAATTATTTTTTTATCTGTACAAGTTCTGATATCATTACTGCTGTTTTTTAAGTTTGAAAATGGAAAATAGAGAAGCTCACAAATTTGATTAACATGAAAATAAGCAAAGGCAACGACAGATATTCTGTCTGACATTCTGGCCCGTGTCATTTATTTAACACATTTTTTTCCCTACAAAACAAAAGCAGAATACTTCTTATGAGCATTAAGAGTTCCCACAAATCCAGAAGCACTACCCCCGCCTTCCTTGTTGGTGAGAAACACTGAACCTCTGCATGTGTGTGTGTGTGTGCGTGTGTGCGTGTGTGTGTGTGTGTGTGTGTGTGTGTGTGTGTGTGTGTGTGTGGGGTGTGTGTGTGTGTGTGTGTGTGTGTGTGTGTGTGTGTGTGTGTGTGTGTGTGTGTGTGTGTGTGTGTGTGGGTGTTTTTTGTCTGAATTTCTGGCATGAAAGAACAGGCACCATTGTCGAAGCAGTCATTGTAATATCAATGCATGCATTGATGTGAAGATTTGAGTCTTTCACAATAAACAGGCGTTACACGCAATCTGGTTTTTATGAATTCTTCTCATCTCTACTTGATCTGTGTGGCTATCAAGTCTACCGAGATTTAATATTTCCTATCAATAATGGAGAAATCAACTCAAAAATCATATTGTTAAAAAAAATCTAATAAAATCTTAATTCAAAAGAGCTACAAATACGGATATTAAATATTCTCAGATGTTTTAGCTGAAATTTCAATACAATTTTGCAACAATTTTGCTGTGTTAGTGTTTTAAATCATTTTAGCAGCTGCTTTCATTCAGTTGGCACCTCAAATAAAACCCCAACGACTTGTATTTAATGTTAGCAGTGAAATGGAAACAAGAAAAGCTGATAACTAGTTCACTAGGTCTTTGAGCGAGAGGCTGGCAAACTTTGGAGCCAGGAATCAATATTTCAAATTAATGCGGAGACAGAAAAGGAAGAGGAAAGCAAATATTGGACTCGCTTTTCGACTGCACAAAACCATAATCTTGGATTGTTGAGTAGGGATAAGACAAAAAGGAATAAGTCCAGTGCTTTATGATGACTATATGAAGAAAAAACCTCTTGCTCTGGTCCCAGTTTATCAAATGGAAAAAAAACCCTGTAAAGTTGGAGCTATGTGACCTTTAAATCTTGAAGATTTACAGTTACTTTTTTCTTCTTTTCTTCAATTATTAAGCTTCCTGGATGAACTGAGTTGATTTAATATAAACAACATTTTTTCTCCCGCTGACATTAAATCAAACCAGGCGATTCTTGTTCTTGGTTTTGAAGGATTACCAACATATTTGCTAAATGCCTGAATGGGAAAAAAAACAAAAAAAAAAAAACTTCTTATTTACCTTCTTGAAATTCAGAAGTTCACATCCACTAATTTCATCATTTTATGCCTTTCTAAGCTTAGTTGCACACCAATATGGATACATTTTAAGATAACACATCGCTGTGTGACATCATGGAAAACCAAGACAAACTATCCCAGATATCAGGAAATTAATTATGTCTGGTTCACCTTTCAGTATCGTTTTCAGATGTCTGATTAGTGCCACATTCATCTGAAAAACAAAATCTTACCAAGACATTTTGGTCCTGCTTCTAGATTTCTAATTACTATTTGTATGTTAGAAATAAGGAATCTAAAACAATTCTAATGTGGATATAGGAGCATGCTCCAAATCGAACTGCACAGCCTTAAAGACACACACACACACACACCCACACACACAACAACACACACACACACACACACACACACACACACACACACACACACAAAAGACAAATAGCAATGCTGTCAATTTAAATCAAGGACGCCTTTCATGGCATCTTTTCAAGTCTCGTTTTCTGACCTGGCATCTGTTCAGAGGAACGTCTCAAGCAAAAGGACAAAGCAAGAAAAAACTAACTAAATTGAAAAGGAACATGTTAACTAATTATTTTGAAAGAGGGGGGGAAAAATGGCCTCCAAAAATAACACCTGAAATCAGAGACGTGTGTTGTCCCCGAAATGCTTGAACACAACAGCGCCGCTATGCTTTATGAGACGTTTACCCATTTCATGAAACAGGGATCCCTGCCTGGCCGTTTTGGGCTTCCTGGACCTCGGCGCCTCGATCTTCATCACCTCATCGCAACACCGTTTCCACTGACCTGGAACAGCCCAAGTCGGCAATTACAAACAAATACAGACAAAGAAGTATTATTTTTTTGGCTTTTTGTAACGTCTAGTCAAGTTCAGGTTTTTGTTATACCTGCTGTACCACATGTCAATCAGCAGGACCAGAGGGTGAAAACACACACACACACACAAACACACACAACCACACACACGACCACACACACACACACTTTAGTCTAAGTCTAATGTTCTGTAAGAGGAATGCAGACATAGTCTGCTATAGTCAGATAAACCAATCAAAAGCATTTTCAGCCATTTTGTTAAGAGTTGATAAAAATCCACCAAAGTCTTTATCGGGCTTCGTTTTGCTATTTCAGCAACGTCTTAATTATTTAGACCTGCCCTAAATAACGAAGGCAACAGCATAAATGGCACGTGAAAAGAAAAGTGTCCGGTTTCTAGGTGTGGAAGATATAGACTCAAAGTTTTAGCACAACATTTTGCAGTGCTGTTGTAATACTGACAAAAGTGATGATGAGAACTATTTGTTAAGGCTTTTTTTTTAAAGGTGACTGTATGGCTAAGACTGCGTCACAGCAATAATAGCCCCACTAACAAATACTGCCCTGGAAGAGCATTCCCATTGTAAATACTTTTCTTTAGGACTCCAGTCGCACTGTGACCAAATTTGCAAATTTGTTGGCATTTGATCCTTTCATTGAACAAACAGCACAGAAAATAGTAAAACACTCCAAACATCAAGGAGACGTTTGGGAGGGTTTAAAACATCACTATTTATGAATGAAACTATATGGCGGGTCTCTACATTTCTGCAAAGTATCAACTCTGTGGACGTAAACAAACACCAATCAGGCTTTTCTTCGCAAAACTTTTTGAAAACTATGCACCATGCTGGCAAAACACAAAATCTTATCAAGTATTTTTTTGTAGTGTTTTTTGTGCAAATGTCTTGGTTCACTTAAAATTACAGAGCCCGCGAGGGCAACGCTTTGCAGTGCTGTTGCAATACTTTTGGATTTCCTCGCGATAATCTACTATCAGTTACGTGGCATAATTGAATACTGTATGTCTTTCTTACGGTGGACGCCAAACTTTCTGGTTTAATATTAGGTGATGTGAGGTTTTTCCATGTCTGCTAATATCTCGTTGTGAAATATCTGACATTTTATATCTTTTTCTTTAGGATAGAAAGGCACCACAAACCTGTAATATAAGCAGAAACATTACGTAAGTAGAAAAGAAATAAAAATACATCCTAATTTGGACCATTTCTGAGTTATTATCGCGGGTAAGAAGTAATCTGACAGTTTTGATTGTGTCTCTGTCGTGCTGCTTGTCTGAATGGTTTAAGTGCTGCTTTCAGTGCCGTCCCATCCCAACCTTAACGGACATAAACATGCAGTAAATAAATAGATTTTCAATCAGTTGTTTTCCACCAAAGACTTAATAACAATAAGCATGTTTTATTATTATAAAACACGGCAAAACTAAACTAATCTCATCTGTCCATGTCTCAATCAGCTCCAAACCATTTTTTGTACTACTGTCGCAATAATCAATTTATTCCATTTCGATTACAATGCTCCCAACTTTGCAAGCACCGACAACCCCGCTCACCGCTTCCTCACACACGCAAAGCCAGAATGCCAGCAACCTTCCCTTTCATATTTGATGACAGCCACGTCCACATCGGCACGCCCACCCAGTCGCATGCTCCTGTCATGTCAACAATTATTTATGTCATTCATATGGCTCCTACAGAGCCTCAGTAGAAACGTGTTTATCATCATTAAATCTTTGGTGCGAAACACTGATTGAAAATCAATTTTTTGTTTTACTGCACGTTTAAAGTGGAACGGCACTGAACGCAGCCCTTTAAACCATTCAGACTATGAACACAAAAGACACAATCAAAACTGTCAGAAGACTAATTACCCGTGATAATAACTCAGACACAGTCCAAATAGTTTGGATGTATTTTATTTTTTTTCCTACTTCCTGAAAGTTTCTGTTTATATCATAGGTTTGTGGTGCCTTTCTATCCTGAAGAAAAATATATAAAATGTCAGATATTTCACAAGGAGATATTAACGTACATGGAAAAACCTCACATCACCTTATATTAAGGCAGAAAGTTCGGCGGCCACCGTAAGAAGGCCTTACAGTATTCAATTATGCAGCATAACTGATCAGTAGATTATTGTGAGGAAACGCAAAAGAAAAACAATTTTCCACGTCCCCTGGAGGGCTTTGTATCAAATAACACTGAACTAACTGAAAAGTAATTTTTCAGCAAGAAACAACAGCTTGCTTAAAGTCAATAATTATTTATTATTGATAAGATACATAAGAAAATTAACTGAGATTATTTCACTTCTAATAAAATATCTTTCCCCATAAGTGAAATAATCTGCCAGTGGATCTGATACTTTATCAATATTGAGAAATGATTTAATAAAGTCAAGCTCCTATATCTTGCTGAAAAGTTGCTTATAGGTCACTTGAAATAAGGCAAAGCTCAAATAAATAAATCAAAAACACAGAGTGAAGCTTTGTGTTTGCTTCGGTATCAATGAGTGACACAAAGCCCGTCGGTTCTCTCCGAATTCCCAACTCTGCTTAGTTCCCATAAGTGAACTAAGAAGTTAAAAACCAACAACCTGCTTTCACTTTGCTAATAATAGCCCAAGAATTTCTCATAGGCGATAAGAGTTGAAGATAAACAAGATTTATTTTTCTGACAGACAACTTCCTTGGTCCCAGCCTTACTCAGGTTGTAGACATGCTGCTGGAGGGCCTTGTTCCAGCCTGGCAAATCTTCAGCATTCTGGGTGGCAGCTGCATAGGTGGCATTCTCTCTGTCAGGCTGCATGCGAATGCTAATCTGCAGCCCGTGGACAGGATGGCTTTCTGACGTGCACACTGTGGTATCCTGAAGGTGGAAAAAACAAGTTCAAATGAAACAGAAATTGTGTAAGTTTTATATTTAATTTAGATTTCTCTGAAGTATTTTTTAACAACATCATCATTAATATTACATTTCAGTTGGAATATACCAAAATGTGTATATATATATATATATATATTATATATATATATATGTAGTCTGATATAATCTGATAAATCCGTTCACAAACCAGCTGTACTTATGCTGAGATTAAATCACATACAAGTCGACTGTTTACCGTTTGACTTCTCTTCAATGTGTTGAAAGAGATTTCATTTAAGGGCGTCGGCCACATTCTGTTACCATGATGCTGCCAAGCACAATTATTTCACGCAGTGCTTGTTTTTTTTATTATTATTATCATTATTTCAGGTCTGTTTTGGTCAAATTTGGTCTGTCCTGACCAGAGCACCTTCCTCTACATGAAAGTTTGACTTTTCGTGAAAGAATTGGGAAAAGTTCAGGTAACGAGTAAACACTTCGGAGAACAGGTGCACCCTTTACCATTAATGAAAATTTGAGTGAACGTCCTCTTCATCTCATGAGACACGACAGGATCGATAGGCATTTTTTGGTTTCCTGAGCCGGGTCACATTTTACCACGTTGGAAGAATTGGATTGGTGGAAGAGTACACACAAAAATGTGATGCGATGGGGCGGGGAAAGGCTTGAAATGTAATCTTTTGTTTCACTTTTTAATCTCAAATTGTACACGACTGTTGAATATTGCAACGATAAACATGTTTAGCACGTCTGAACGTCATCGCGAGTTTAACGTTAATCCAAGATCCGTCTTAGCCGTCAGGAAGGCGGCTAAGAGTAAAAACATCCATTTTGCGTTGCCATTTTCTTTTTCCCAGTTAAATCTGACGTGACGACGACGCTGGAAAAAACAAAACACTGAAAAAACACAAGTAAAAGAGATTTGACATGAAATCAGAAGTAGATACAAAACATAATATGAGCCAAAACAAAAGATTACACGGCTCCCCCCCCCCTCCAGTTTAATAATGCCTGGCTTTTCCCAGCAGTTCAGCAAGCAGGTTGTGCCAGTCTGTGATTGATGGGAAGGGATCCGATTGTTGAAGGAGTGGAATTCAGCACCACAGCAATCGATGTATAAAAGGTTTAATTTCTATCAAAACGCTTAAGAAACAAGAGGGAGAAACTCGCAGGAATCAGAATATGCCACTCGCCGATCAAATTAAACAGAACATTTGACAATAACCTTTAAGCAGGTATTAAAAACTTTTCATTTATTGTTTTGATAATATTTGAATCTTAAATATCATGTTTGCGTCAGCCCCAAGCAGAAAATCATCAAGATTAACAAACATAAAAGCTTGATCTGTCGTGTTTCACTCATTAAAATAACATTTACAGTAATATTCTAGATTATTGAATATGAATGCATCGTATTGATAACATGTACAAATAACTTCAAGAGAAACAAAAACTCCCATCCTCATGCATTGTGGTTGTCCCATAAGTAATAACTTAATGAACCATATTAAAAGAACATTTCCTCTTCACTCTCACTTCCTCATAATTGTTTTATATTGATGCACTGGTATGCAGCAGCTGGCATTTACCAAAAATGCATGTAAAAAGTGATCTATCTGCAAAAGGGGAAAGAAAAGGCGTCACAAGGAACAAGATCTGATAAATTCATTATGAAAGAAAAGATTCTGGTGGATTTTTTTTTTCAGTCTGTCTGCAAGTTTCTGGTTTAAACTGGTTCTTTTGACGTCACTGGTTTCTGCCTTATCCAAAAACATGCAGATTAACCACAAGATTATTTTCTCAAGGCTCCCGCACTGAAGCAAGCATCAGACAGACATCAGACACGCTGTCCAACTCCAGGTATTTCTCAGTAAGTTCAGGAAGTTCGCCGGGACGTCAGGTAAATTTAGCACATGTACATTTGGTTGTCTAACCCAGTGGTTACATATGTACATCTGAAATAAACACTATTTTACGTCTGAAAAGTCAGTGATGGAAGTTTTCATCAACATCAACTCTGCATAAAAAATTGCCACGAGCCATACTTTGGGAACCTATATTTGGGTATTGACACAATAAACATCCACGAAGCTGAAGCACAGCAACGTTGTAATTCAAAATCTGAACTCCACTAATGAGCCAGTATTGGGTAATCATTGGGGTTTCAGCCACATCATAATCCAAAACATATGGCAAATCATTACAGGAATGATTTATCAGAGGCCAAAATCTACTGTGGGTTTAAAGGAGGAATGGTGACTGTGCAATCTCTCTCTAGCTCACCGAAAGAGGAACGGCGAATGATCCGCTCCGCATCTTTTCATCTTGTGAAATGTTTTTGAAGTTTCACTATTTTTTGCACTGTGTGATTATCCAGCTGCAATATTGATACATTTAGTCATTTAAATGGGGTTCATTTGGAAGTTATTCCGTCATGTTTACTGTACGAGTTATACCATCACAAACACCCTGCAGAAATGCCTGAGGACAAACTGCAGAGCACTTAAAATGACTGTAGCTCAGACTGGTTTTTCTCATCTGTGCAGCAGGTGGGTAGTTTGAAGTGAACAACTTCATTTCTTTACAAATCAACATTTTTAAAAAATAAATGAATGCAGCTAAAAAACAACAACAAACAGCTCAGTTCCCGTGTAAATCAACGTTTTGATGAACAGGACTTATTTTTAATAATCTACTACACTGCTGACAATTAATCCAAGACACTAACAGACCTCAAACACAAATGTTTCAAGAAAGTAAAAGGGAGGTTTTAACTTTCTGAGGTTCTAAAAATATGTTTGTGCTACTGGACAAATATTGCTTCACAAAATGATCATGCAACTAAATGAAAAACGTTTTCACACCACACTTATTTTAATGTCTTAAAAGCAACATTATGTATACTATAAAAAAGACACGTCCTCCACATATTTGTTATGTCGCGACAGAATGGTGTGACTCTGCTTTCTCCTGATTGACAGCTTCGTTTCCCTCCGCGGCGCTGCAGCTGGTTCAGCACAGAATAGGGTGATGATGGAAACGTTACACTTCTTGTCAAATCTTATGCAGTGACTCTGCATCTATTCTCAACACATTTCTATATGCAACAAAACCTTGGATGGTTCTATGATCATGTGGTCTTTTAACCAACTAAAAATAAAAAAATGTTTTTTTTGGTCCATTTTGTCAAAAGAAAAGAACTTGCCTTATTTATACACACATTTTGATACATGTGTGCATCAAAACTCTCTCCCTCTTTACAAAGATGCACGCCGCCTGCTGCACTTGAATCCATCAGGCATCAACATTTATCCAGCATAGAGTTAGAAAAATTGTAATTCCAAATAATTGCAAACAGTGCAATCTCTCAATATTTTTTTTTCCTTCTATGTTCACGGACTTTGAGTAAATAATATAAAAAATGTGTTAAGTTAAATGGACTTGCAAAAGAGCAGCCGTTTAACCCCATTTCCTGAACGTGTCAAAAGTAGCAAAGAGCAACACGAGTTGCTCTTTTTGCTGCAGCAAAAATGTGTAAAAGTCTCAGAAATTCTAATTCCACACCTCCTCCCTCCAAAAAAAGAAAGAAAAAGTACAAGAAAAGCTCTTATGGCTGATCTGAGATTTTCATTTCACCTCCATCTGGTTGGTAAGAAAAATCCCGGCTCCTCATCCAGCCCCATTTGTCGCAGCAGTTTATTTTATTTCTTAATTATTTTTTTCAGAAGCAGGGCGTGGCATGTAGATATTTTCTCGCTGCCACTTCCTAACTCAAAGATCAACAAACCTCTGCTCTACTTTGGTGTGTCTGTTTTTTTTTTTTTTTTGTGAGTTTATTTTTATTTTTTTAAGAGTCAGTGAGAGAATTGGGCAATCTGCTTGACATCATATTCATATGCCAGCCTAACAGGAAGTCGTAGATAAGTAAAGGTTCACAGCATTTAAAAATGAAAGTGTATATTTGAAAGGAATGCTTCAGTTGTGGGTGTTTAATTGGGACATAATTGTGACACCAGAGAATATTTCTTCTTACCATAATACGCAATAAATACTCTAAAAGTGTGAATTTTAGTGGGGAATGCTTGCTACTACAAGAATAAATATGACAAGGTATTCTTATAAGTGTGTAGGATGCTGCAACATAAAAACACTGACTGTTTTCAGTGTGCATCTGCAGCTGCATATGAATTCATTCCGTACTCTGATCTCTGAAGAAACATTTTCACAAATTCTCATTATTAAGCCACTTCAATAAATAACCAAATAAATTGGTGTGACATCTCGCTGAGTGTGGGTAGAAATAACCGGGATTTAAACCGTGAAACTCTCAAAACAGCTTTGTTTGCGTTTATACTCACCGGTGCCCTCTGGTGGCTTTGCCATGTGACTGTAACCAACCCAAGAAGCATAATCTCGGCATCTTTGCATTAACCTCATTATGACTTTTCATATTTGCCAGCCAAACCTTTGTGATGGGGATCACATGCAGAGGCTCGTCCTCCGACTCCGAGTCTTCTCCACTTCGGTAGCAGAGCAGAGTTTGGCCTTTCAGGACACAGTAGAAGTTTCCCCAACGATCTGCGTCATCCTCAAGCTGAGTGAGAGCAACAGAGAAACAAAGACACATGCAAGTAAATCAGAATCAAAGGCAGTTGTTGTGATTGGTGGTAAATATATATATATATAAGATTATATACATATTAACCTTGATCTTAAGTTGGCCCCTCATCACTGGCTGAGTCATGCATAAAGGCTGAGCGACGAAGCGGCAGCACATGTTTCCGAACAGAGGCAACCAGAATGGACTATCTTCTGGAAAAAAAATAAAAGCCTAAATCACACTTTAAAAAAAACACAATCAGAGGGAAACGACATGAAATTACCTGTTGCTGAAAGGGTTAAATCATGCGTCTTGAAACCCTCTCTGACGTGTTCAATAGTCAGTGTTGTCTGAGCCAACAAGTTATACTTTGGGCCCCTATGAATACAATTAAATTCATACAATCATAGTTTCTTGAAAAGAATACAAAAATTTTCAAAAAATCATAATATTAAACTGTGTTTCAAGGAGAGTGGCCATGCCCACAGTGCAGAAGGAGGTGAAACGTGTCCAGGTCTCGCGGTGCCGCCACCGGGGCAGACGGAGCCGCACGCAGACGCAGACTCAAACGCGGCCCGGATCTTTTTCCCAGAGGAGCGTCCCAGCGAGCCTCCCAGGAAGCTCATTCTCCTGGGAGCCGGAGCCGGGGCCGCCGGAGGGAAATCCTCGGCGGCGCAGCAGCTGTAGAACTCGACGCGGAGCGAGAAGCCCGGACCCACCTTGTCGCTGGGCGGATGTGAACGGTTTCAAGAGCTTGCACGTTGGAACGCGTTAACTCGGGTTTTCTGCGGAAATTTTGTCTTACAACACGACCGCGTCCTCGAAGCAGATGTCGGTCAGCGTCCTGTCCACCATCACCAGGTCGGTGTCGTGGATGTCTGAGCCGCACTGAAGCAGGCAGAACACAGCACAGCGATGCAGCTCTGTAGATGGAGAAAACATGATTTTATTGGGGATTTTATTACTTTTTTTATTACATTCTTTTGTCACATTTATTATATAAAAAAATAATTCAGGCACAGAAATGCCTACAAAAAAAATCATATTCTTACAATGAATACGCCAAACTTTTATTTGGGTACATTGAGAAAAAACCCGATCATGTTCACTTTTTTGCTACTCTGAACAATCTCTTTCAGATTAGTATTGCTGAAATATTTATTATTAATAATAATAAGAATAATCTGAGTTTTTAGCTACTTTTTTAGTTACTTACAATTTGTTTCCCTGAGACATTTAGACAAGTTCAATGAATGAAATGTGCATTTTTTTCAAAACTATCACAAAGCGAAACAAAGATTAATTACACAAACAGTTACATAGCTACACCCTTACAGGAATGCTTAAAGGTATTCCTGTTAGTGTGTAACTATGTAACTATTTTAAACATGACAAGGTATTCCTGTTAGTGTGTAGGATGCTCGTTTTTCCACTGAGACGAAAATGTGACATCTGAAATTAAAGTATCACATCAAAACAACAACAAAAGAACTACATTTAATAAAAAGGTGGGTACTTTTTGAATCTGACAAATCTGGGCACTTTTTTAATTTATGTATTCATGTTTTATAACTGTGGGCGACAGTGCTACCCACTGCACGAAATTCAAATTTGTGTGTGATCACTCTGTGGCTATGAAGTATTTATTTTGCCCTCATCTCTGCCATTTGCTTACCTCCTTTGTTTTTGAAGTACTCTGAGTCTTTCCACATGAGGGGGATTCGCAGGTCTGCAGAGTGTAAATTAATTAGACAGGCATAAAAAATAAATAAAAAAGTTGTTGCAACAAGCAGCTAAAAGACAAATTCAGCTTCTAACATGCAAAGGATTAAACAAATACGATTTGTACAAAGGCATTTTGTTACCTGAAAGCGAGACTTTTCCAGTGCATGGCTCTGCGTCTTCAGATGTCTTGCTGTCAAAATAACCAGTGGTCAGCCAGCCACGTCCAGGAAATATAGAACATAGAAGAAACAACAATCTGTTCTAAAATCAAAAAGTAATTCCCTTAAGCAGCATTGACACATCAGTTACATATTCACGACTCTCACACCTGAAGACTTAGAAATGGAAATTCTGGATCTATTCATTGTGTAATGTAAACACAGCCCATGCATCTCCAGGTGACCTTGCCTGACATCTTGTTTGTTGGTACAGGCTGTGCATTTTCTCGCAAAAATGACCTCCTCGGTTCGTTTTTTTAAAGAAAAAAAGAAATAAAATAGAATGACTTTTCAAGTTCCTAATTCACATGCGTCTCCCTGAGCAGTGACCTCCCAGCGAAATCACGCATACGCTCAATCCCTCTACTGACCCGTGTCCCTCTCGCTCTAAGATCCGCGCTCTCCTCATCCTCTGCAGCTGGCCGAGCAGAGCCAGGATGCGGGCGTTGCAGGTCAGCAGGCTCTTGGAGACCTCCAGGGCCTGATCTCTCCGGGAGCAGGCAGCCAGCAGTTTGTAGGCGCCCTCCTGCATGCGCACCTCCCTCTCAATCTGCTGCAGCACTCTCTCCTCCTGTTGGGGACGAGACAACTGCATAATGTGACGCCCGCATCTAAGAAAGTCTACACTGACAACATTGAGGACAGAGGATGTGCCACAAAAAAAACAACAACAAAAAAAAATAAAAAAACAGATATTAGGAAGGCGATGTAAGGGAATCTTAATTATATAGGACATTTTCAGGAATAAGGCAGTTCAAAGTGCTTTACATGAGTTAGAAGCAAGCACTAGAAAAACTAAATAAAAAACAAAAGTAGTACATAATTTGCACTCATAGGACATTCTCTAGATCTAAAGTTTGTTCTCGATTAGTAATATGAAGAACAAGTGCTCCACAATTTATAAACTAGCAGGAGTTTCTGTGTCTCCCTGTTTGATTCTTGTTCTGGGTTGCTACTTGGTAAGAATAAAGCTAAATATTGGCTCCACATGTTTAATAAGAGTAAGCACTTCATAGTTTGTAAAATATGAAACTAGAATCTCTGGATCATAAGTTTGTTCTGGATTAACTAGGTATAAAGCTAAATGTTGGTTCCAGTTTCTCTGGGTTGCTAAGTCGATAGTATTTCCTAAGCTTGTTTCAGATTTGTAAAGTATGAAACTAAATGTCTGCAGCTAAGACTCCCATGGCCATTCTGGAGGAGCTGCAGAAGTCCACAACTCAGGTGGGACTGTTGACATGACAACTATTTGGCCCTTTTTGCACATGTCTGACCTTTTTTGAAAGAATAGCAAGAACTTTGCCACAAGGGGGCGCTGAGATGAGACCGAAATGATAAAAGCTGTGTGCTAAATATGACGCTGCCATGCACATGGAGAATCCTTTGAATTTGAATTTGGGATTTTATCTATTTCATAAAGGGAACAATCCCTGCTAAACTCGAATGCATCACGCAAGTATGCTTGATTTATCCAAATTTTTGACTGTGGTAGCAGGTTGATGGAAGGGACTTAAAAATAATAATAATAATAAAAATACAATCAACCTGCATAAAAACATGCATGACCTATGATTGATAACAGGTTCCAATTAATTGCAAAAAGTAGCATCATTCACAGAAGACATCGATAAAAATGAAAAGTCACATCCTTAAGAAAACTTGTATAAACATTTAAAAATGATTCGAGACATGAGTACAGTTTTGATGACGTAGTGACCACAGATTAAGTAATTTCCTTCATCAACTCCTTGTTCAAAGGAGTTGATGACAAGATAGATGGAAATATCCCAGAAGAAAACCTGTTGGAACCTGTGTCAGACTATGGGGTAAAACAGTTCCTCTGCTTCCAGCAGGAAAACGATGCTCCACCCCAGACAGACCAAGCCTCGTCTGATCTGACTGAGCTGCAGCTGTTTCGCAAAGAATGGGCAAATCCTCTGTCTGCGTGTGAGTGGACACCACCCACAACAACTTGCAGCTATAACTGCAGTGAAAAGATGCAGTTGTAGAAAGAACTGATTCAGGTAGATTGGATCCAAATCATGGAGCGTTTCTCAGATTTTTACTCTCCCCCTCCACGACACGCATCACAAATATGCACCATTTTGAGATGGGAACCCAGTGAAATACACAAATATTTGTAACATTAATGTGGCAAAATGTGAAAAAGTAAATTAACACAAGCCCCTGTACAGCGTAGCCTCCAAGCTCACAATAAGCATCTACCATCCTCTGAGATTCAGACAACTTTCTCTTTCATCGGCTGTATGAATTTGCTTCTGACCGAAAGTGTTGGAGAAGTGCAAGTGTCCAAGTGTCAGTGACCCTGATAACCAAAGTTCCAGTGTTGATCGGTTACTCAGAAGCAGAGTGAAAAGTGTGTCGCGCCAAAGCTAATCGAATGGGCCGATTTGTTTTGTAAGTCAACAAAACGCGGGATCACTCCATAATTTTGCAGATTTCTTGTCAAAATACGGTGATCAAACTTTGTGGAGATTTTTTTTTCACCCTCTCTTACACGCGAGTGTAAAGATTTTGAATGATATCAGAAATTCTGATGTTGACTGCACACGTGAAAATGAGAACCACTTCCGTTGGAGACCTCAACTGGAACACCCGACAGACAATGCTGAAAGGAGGCTTTGTATAAGCTCTCAGAAGTCAGGGGCTGAACAGCGTATGTCTGCAATCCAGGAAGAAGTTGATAAATAGCAAATAAGTGTTCTTTGTGTCCATAATTATTGTTTTGTCCTTTTTCCGAACACTAAAAACTGCAGAGGAAGACAGCCACATAGTGAGAATTCCCAAATGGAAATTTTTTTCTTCCTTTCTTTGAACCATACAGCTGCAGTTGCTGTTTTATTCATGGTTGAATTGTATTGATTGTGTCCATGGTATGGTCTGCAGTGATTAATACAGCTTTTGGCCTTCCACGCTGAAGGACTCCTCCACTGGGTTATTTATCGCAACCCCAAAACAATCGACAGCATTTGAAATGAGTCGAATGCGTTTATTCTGTCTGAAGTTTGCATTTTCTTGTTGATCAGATGAAACGTCCAGCAGTTAACAAAACTATTGCCGGCATATCTTTGAACCTCAGAATTGTTATAAAAAAATATAAAGTGTAGGGATTCACAAAGTATTTATATATATATATATATATATATATATATATATATATATATATATATATATATATATATATATATATATGTATATATATATATATATTATATATATATATATATATTATCATATATATATATATATATATATATATATATATATAATATATATATATATATATATATATATATATATATATATATATATATATATATAGTAAGTATTGCTTTGCCTTTTGCGAGGTTACGCAAAAGTATCGCGAGGGGACGCAAAAGAAAAAACAATCCCCACCATGTCCCCTCGGGGGTTCCGTACCTTCCTCCATCCTTCTCATGTTAACTTAGTCCGTAGAAATGCTCTAGCTAGTTTGCCAGCTGTTACCAAGTGACTGATGCTTTACCCAGAATGCACCTGGAGACATCTCGACGCTTGTAATTTTGTGTGTCTTAAAGTTAAATGTAAATAAAGCCAGTCACGTACCACAACATTTTATGCAATATTTTAAACCCACTATGTCACTAAAATCAGTTGGTCTTATAAAGTTCTTAGCAACCATGAGTCAACAATGACTGGGGCGGCTTACTATATAATCTACTGGGACACACAGATTTATAATATTATATATAGTCCATAATCAACTGGAGCGGTCTGATGTCACTAGCATTCTCAAACGTGACAATCCTCGAGGTCATATACCGCCTCCCCTCAAGGCCCGGACCTGCTCTGCGCATCAGAACGACGGTCTTCAGCACCTTTTTTCCTCCGTTTGCTTACCTGGTTCCTGTCGGCCATGGCTCCACTCAGCTGAGCCTCAGTTCTGTTCGGGCTGCTCTCTGGAAGCGGGATAATCCTGCAGCTGACTGGACCGCCGTTCGGACTGGGACTGCAGGCGGAGCAGTTACTCAACAGAGATCAAAACAATCTTAAGCCTCCATACAAGTGGCTGGAGCAGGAAGGATTAGTCTCCAACATTACACTCGCTCTATAGCGGGAACAATGCCGGCCCATGTACAGAGTATTAACTGTACCAATCATTATGTATGAATGTAAAAAATAAATAAATAAATATGGAAGCCAGTCGTGTCACAGTCTTCGCATGAAAAACCTGCTGTGAATTTCCGCGCATGGAATGGAAGTTAGATAAACACAGCCAGTTCATTTGTTGAATTTACAATAGAGTTGAAGTATTGCGGGATTAATTTGTAGGGTATCCAGTAATTCCCGAGAGGGGATCAATGGTTCCTTGCATAACTGGCATGCATTGTGCAACAAAGCTCCCACTCAAAATCAGCACGAGTAATTTCCCTGCTGCCTGGCCATTTTCCAAAAACTGTCCCAACTGAGCCCCTGTTGCCACCCCAGCTGGCGACTATGAATTCAGTAAATAGTTCATGCAAATTGGACATAAAGCGCATGGATCTCTTTTTTTCCGACGACATTGAACGCAACACAATGTGACTTGGCACCTCCTGCTGAGTGGCGGGAAGGACAGAGCGCGAGGCACCAGCAGCATTTATATGGATATGTTACTGACTTAGCGTGGGCCGCACGCGCGCCATTGCTGTCCATTGAGTCAGGAATATCAGTGGTCAGGAAAATACCACAATCACGCAAAGAATCTGAAAAATGGACGCAATGTTTAGCGGTTAATTCAACCCTACGACAGCCATAGACAACACTGTTCAAGGGTTTCACATTTAACAGGTGAGGAAAAAGTTTTAATTCAAAGGAAATATCAAAAAAGTGAGCAGTAAGTTAGCTATGCTCGCCTAAGTGTTGCTAGCCCGCTATTGACTTTGTTAGGGTTAGGGTAAGTTAAGCACAGTAAGGTAAAGTGCTGTTTTGTGTGTTTTGGTTCCATTAGGCCCAAACAGGAAAACCTGCACACCAAGTCATCAGTAGAGCAGCCGTCTCATCAAACCTGGGCTCCAGTTCTAATTGATGTACCTGTGAGTCTTTGGTTGACTGGATCTCCGGACAGTTCTCCAGATCTGTGATGTCTGATACATCATCTGGAGGAATGTAGGCCTCCACAGGTGAGATTTCGTAACACAAAGTCGTCCAATTCCAAGGGAGGAATCAAGGATGCCGTCGCCATAGTTTTGTCGGCCCAGGTATGAGAGGTTTCTGGGTTTTCGGGTAGGTTCGCCGGAGCAACCCTTGATGAATGCTTCCGAGTGAACTTAGTGAGAAAACCCTTGATCCTCCCTTTCAAACCATTGAGCGCAGATCTTGACTCAACTAGGTGGACAACAGCTTTCTCGGGTTCCTTTCTAGATGTGTGCAATATGACAAAAAGATCCTTAACCATCACTTTGATTTTGTCAACCATATCTTTGATTGCTTCATCAACGTGATTGCTTGGATTGTCGTCAGAGTCAGTGTCTAAGATGGAGTTGACTCTTTCCACCACATATTTGACAGTTAGATGGTTTAAATTGTCGGTGTGTTCTGTTCGGACATTTCCGCTGGAAAACACAATACCGCACCTACATCAGTGAAGTTAGATCCAAACAAGGTGACACTGAGAAGACACAAGCAGATCCTGGACTCAAATTAAGGCCCTCACTAACGCCGACTGCCGTCCAGAGACCATAAGGTGGGATCTGTGAGGGAAGGGCCTCAAGAACGTGTTGGGAGGAAGTCCGACCCACATGCAGAGTCACGCACGGAACCAGAGGTAAGTTAAAGCATTTATTTTAAATATGTACAAAAAGGTAAGAATATTGCAGAAGTTCTCCTTGGTTCAGGTCTGAGGTTCATCTGCAGGAGGAGAGGCAGATTAGCAACAGTGAGGTCTTAATGGTTGATAAAAAAAAAAATCTGATGTTGCAGATCAAATGGGTTTATTGTACCTTGTAGGCTTCTCAGAGGGAGGGGCGGCAGGGTGGGGTGGGGGATATATAGGAACCGGCTGCAGGTGAGCACACGGTTCTGGCCGGCCTCAAAAAAGAGGACCACTGAGAATCAAAGAGAGAAGAGTGAACCAAACAGAGACAGTGGAGCTAAAAAACAAACAAACAGAAAAACAAAAAAACAGGTGAGTCATATAAATTCTGGCGTTTCTCAAGAGTCATACGCAGGCCAGAGCCTACCACCTGAGCGTGGAGGCTTTGCAGCTCCTCAAATCGTCCCAGGCTGATGATCCAACAAGCTGCAGGTGTGTGGCCCTGCTGCAGACCAGCAACCAATCAGTAGAGGCTCTGACTCACCCAAGATCCAGACAAGAAGATGCATTTTCAACTACTAGATCTGTTTATCTTAAGTGAACGTAAATATTCAGAGAAGTAAGTAAAGTATGCAGAGTCTAGTTGACTCTGGTAATATTTGTGAGCTGCTGGGGGAAGAAAAAGAAGACATTCAGATGTTAGGATTTCTCAGACTTGCCTTCATTGCAGTTAAGTTCAAAACGATTCAGGACGGTAACAGATTTGGATTCCAAGTGATATTTTTCATTTAACCATCTCGTGCTTTTCCCGATCTGAATGCTTTGGAGTGGAGAGTCCTGATTTTAATCCGATTTACACGACTAACTTTCCCAACTTCCAACACCTGAAGCTCATCCATCAAATATGAACCGTCAGAATACCAGAGGCAACAAGCGCCGCGTTGCATAGCTCAGCTTCGATTAACTTTTAAACAAACACAGACAAGCTGAAATCCTGAACCGCCTGCAGTTATTATTCTGAACCAGTCTGAACAAAAGGCTGAGGCATTTGTCTCAACACATTGACACCAAGGTTCGTCACACAAAAACAGGAAAAAGAAATGGCAGAACTGACGGGACAGTAAAGAGCATTAGGCCTGCACTGACAGCTGCGGTCTTCAAGTGGATACAAATGACAAGCTGTTTGTGTTTGGAGTTGATAAATTGCTTTTTGCGGAACATTGAAAAAAAAATGTTCCGCAAACATTCTTGAGAAACATTTTTCCGCAAAAATGTTCCGCAGCATGCCCCAGCAGGTGGGGCATGAAAATAAACCAAAACATCAGCATTTAGATGTAAAAAAACAAAACAAAAAACAAGCCCAGAGTGCCATGAAAGTGAAAGTTGAATTTTCTCAAGTGTTTCTGGCCATTGAAGGGTTTAATTGGACAACTTAATAAATGGCACTTTTGAGCAACTTAGAAATTAAGGACTTTATGAATAAAAGCAGAAAAAAAATGCTGGTTGAATATAATTTTAAATTTCCCCTGATGACATTAACAACATAAATACATCAGACAGTGAAGTGGCTGATAGTTTTATTTAAGACAGAGAAATATTTAGTATTCCAGTGACATTAGAGGGAGTCTGACAGCAGAAAGCAACTACAACTGAAATTAATATTTCTGTTAATTCATTGAATTAAACTTAATTGCTCATATACTAAATATGAAATACTAAATATAAAATATATAAAGTTGCTCATATACTAAATCATAAAGCACTTGGATGCTACAATGTTGTTGGTCTTCTTAAGCGTAGCCTTTAACAAGACCAAGTAAGTCACCAATTCTAAAATCTAAAGCATTCAATTAATATTTTTCTGACTTCTGGTTGTTCTGAATTTGTTGCATTATGCAATCATCTGCACGCCTAAAAAAATAAAATAAAAAATGACAATGGATGTTCAAGTTGCAAACATAAGTAGTTCAAAGGTATCAAATATAATATTTTGACCGCTTTTCATCTGTACAAGGTCAGGACACACGGCAACAAGTGGATCCGGTCTATTTTACAGAATGACATTTTTTTGAAATTTCGATAAACACAGAAAAAAATAAATCAAATATATGTATGCAAACACGTCCTCTTATGGAGTTAAGTTTCTACTCAAAATCAATGACGCTGCCTAATGTCTGAAAAAATCTGAACATGGAGAAAAGAGGAAAACTCACTTCTGTACAATATTTACATTTTCACAGCTGATGTATTAAATCTGATAGCGATGCGTCAGTCAGCTGCCGCGTGTTCAGTCTACATCACTTTTGTCGGCCACATTTACACCGTTTCACATTTGTACATAAACTAACAGAATATTAAAAATCACATTTCAGTACATCTGTACACATTCAAAGTGCTTGTTAAAGTTTATGAAATACGTCTGGAAAAAGAACTGAGAAAAAAATAAAATACAACCTTAAATAAACCACTGTATAAATGATACAAGAGCCTCAAAGAAAAAAATGGAACTATAAATGCATAGTAGCTTTTATCCCTCATCAACTTCTGTGAAGATGTCACTCAGGAAGTACTGCGACACAGTCGTAGGCTCGTTCTCAACAAAGCTGCTCTCCCTTTCCGGGGAAGTTAAAGCCTGTGACAGAGAGCAAACGTTTAGGTTTTATAAAGCTCGTGTTGGAGATCAAAACTTAGCAAACACGAATCTCTATCCTCCTTACCGTAGATGAAGACCTCAGGCCAATATGTGCACGAACTGGCGCCGTGAGCGCCTCTGCTGCTGCCTTTGTTTGACTGGGAATATTAGAATTTGATGCGGAGGATGTTGGTTTTGAAGACGTCTGTTCGGCTTTGGTGGGAGTTTTCTTCTGACTTCGCCTGCTTGCTGCTTTTGTACATTTGGAGCTCCTCGTTTCAGAAACGCTTGCTTCGGAAACTTTGGCTTTCCTGCGACATATAAAAAATAAAGTTAAAACTAAAAGTTTCTGCCTTCGCAATCTGGAGAATTACTCCAATTTTCTTCCTCACCTGTCGAGATGAGTTTCCTTGTCGCCTAAATCATCACCGGCTTTCTCATTCGGCTCAGCGATGGAGTTCTTGAAGACTTTAGGTTCAGCAGGAACTTCTGGATGGTTTTCTTCTGCTGTCAAACTCACCTCAGAAACACTGCAAAGGGAGAAGAAATGTAAAATCAGAAATGAAACTAAACATTCCCAAACCTCTCTCGATGGGGAGCCGATACGAACCTCGGCTGCCGACCCGATGCGCCTGTTGCGGGAAGATAAGAGAGGTTCTGGGCTCCACTCGCTCCCACTTCCCCTGCTGAGGGGACCGGGATCTCCGTCAGGGAGAGGATGAAAAAGGGCTCATCTGGATCTGAAGGCACTTGCTCTGGCAGTACTGAGAGGGAGCGAGGCATAATTCAGTCAAAAAGAAAAAAAAAAAAAAAAAACAACAACAGGAAAGAGAACGCAAACTTCAAACAAAACGATGTGAGTGAGAGAAAGTCTCTGATTGACTTACTCTGTGACAGGAGCGGATCTCTCTGAATCGCCTCGGCGCTTGATGTTTTATGCTGGGATTAAAGGAATCAAAAGGAGAAAATTTGAGGGGAAAGTAACACCGTCTTTTTGTGTAGTACAACCCATTCGTGATCAAAGTGCTGACACTCGGCACCGCAAAGCAGGCTTTCTCAAGACTAATCGAGTCAAAGGATGCTCTGCAGTCTTTGGGATAGTATTTCTCACCCCTTGTGTTTTTCACATTTTGAGTATGTCAAATAGAACAAAGAAAAACTCAAACTTATTGTTTTAGCAATTTTTTTTCTTCATCTTGCTCTTTAAAATGCTATTTTTACCTCTGGAATGTGTTGGGATCAATTACCCGCTTACAAATTAGATGACTTCAAAAAGCCAAATTAGTTGCACTGTATTATATTAAGGGTTGGCAAGGTAGATGGATTGAAACACAATACTTTTTTAATAAAAAAAACAAACAAACACATCTTTCACTTTAGCTTACAAAAAGCAAGATAAATTTGCCAGTAGAAGAAATTGCTGTAATAGTTGTCATTTAGCTTTAAAAAAAAAAAAAAAAAAAAATAAAATAAAACATTATTGAGAAAGAATCTTAATAAAGAAGCATATTTACCCCACAAGAAGATTGTGGTTTAACACAACTAAGAGAGGAATGAGAATCAATTGAACTCGAGTCTTTTTCTCCTGGTTTCTTGTTGACTCCTTTTTCTGGATCATGGGTGTCCGCTTTCTTGATTTCTTTAGAGGCACCAAAAGCTGTAGAAAAGAAAAATGGTTTTAACCTATCACTTATAAAATCCAAACCAATCGGTATTGCTTAGAGAATAGGAGAACAGTGAAACCTGTTTTTGTTGTATTTGCTTCTTCAGCTGGCTGGGTCTGCTGAAGACGTCCGCTGCAGCGCAGGTTGGGTTTCGGTTTAATAGCCAAGTTGGAATCTCCAGATGAAAGGTAGTCGTTGTTTGCTGAGTCTTTATCTGACATTTTGTCCAGCGGTTGCTCTAATGCAACAGATGACATCCCTTTACTCTGGTCTTCAAGAGGTCTACTGTGATCACCTGACTGAAGCTTTCTGACTGCAAGCCCAATTTTTTCTAAATTGGGCTTGACTTTGGAAAACCGCTGCCTTCGTTGAGGCGGTGGTTTTTCTGTGACAGCTGGACTTGAAACTTCCACATTTGCTTGTACTTTTTCCTCAGTTTGTCTATTTTGCTCAGAGGCTGGGTTTAGAGCTCTTCTTACAGCCTGCGTAGTTGTTGAGTTTTCTGTGTTTGATTTGTCATCCTTTTGATCACTAGCAGATGCAGCACAAGGTTCCGTCTGATCTCGGGCTGAGCTGCCCATCTTTGAATTGCTGGTCATTGCTGATTTAACTGTTTGTGAAACATTTATGCTCTCACTTGGTCCACCTTGAGCTGTCAGGTTTGCATCTGTGAACTTAGAGTACTTCTCTTTCTCTGTGATTGTCTGCTGTGCACCAAGTTGGAGTTGGACTTCAGATTTGTCATCGGCTTTGGACCTCACAGGTCTTGAGCTCTGTGATAAATTTGGTTTAGGTTTTTGTGATCGACTCCTTTTGACCAGCTGAGCAGATGGCACTTTATCCTCCTTATGATTGACTTGCAACTCTTTATAGGGTGCAAAGCAAGCTGAAAGGTCGCTTCTTTCTAGATCTGCTCCTGAATTCAGGTTTGGCCCTTGACCAACTTGTGTTTCTTTAACAGTTGGGCTATTATTGCTAAAGGTTGAAAATGTTGCACCTACGATTTTTTCACTGGATGTTGACTCTTGGTTAATAAGCTCAGGGTTGACATTGAAGTTTTGTTTCTTTGCTTCAGAAAGTGTCTTTTTCATTTCTGAAGACTCAGAGGTAAGAGGTGGAGTTAACTCCATCACAGGATTATTTTCACTTTGTTTGTCCGAAGACGTTGGATCTGGATCCGGTTCAGAATTTGCGTGCTTCTCTGACTGGCTTTCTGATGTTCGAGGTTTCAGCTTCGAAGCTCTTGATGCTTGTGAAATGTTTGGTCTAAGTCTGATTTTGGATAATCGATTTTGCCTTGGCTTTTCAGAAGTTGCATTTCCCCCGCCAGGTTTGCAGACGGCTGGCTCTTCCTCAGCTCTTACAGACACAGCAGGTTGAGCGCGTTGGTCTTGGTCAAAGTTTGTTCGACTACCATGTGACGTCATCGCACCGCTGCAACTAATTTCACTTGTTTCATCCAGAGAATTCAAAGCTTTTTCCGTGGACCTGAAAGTTGAACATGATTTGAAGCTGGTTTGCTTTTGACCTTGGTCAACGGGACGATGTTCCATGTCATCGTGAATAACAATCTCAGTAGATGCAGGTTTGTTTGTAACTTGCTTTATTGTCGATTCATGAATGGAGTCTGAAGCCTGTATTCGGTTCAACCTTGAAGCACAGTCATTGTCTTCCAAGTGAATCTGTGTCAACTCTATGGAACTTTTCATTGCTGTGTCTTCTGTGGCTTGAGGTTTAGTTAGCCTAACTCTTGAAGTCTGAGTTAGATTTGGTTTGAGTTTAACCTTCTGCAAATGGCTCCTTCTCAACTGAGCAGATGTAACGTTACTCTCTTGTTTATTAGCTGGTTTGTTTTCTATAGGAGAGATTGAAGTAGCAGGACTACAATTAGCTGGGGCCGCAGCTAATTCTACATTAGATTTATATTCAGCTTGTGTTTGTGGACTAGAAAGAACCTTAAGCGTATTCTGAGGTTCTGCATGAGGGGACACATCAACATTTCTTGACAAGAAACTAGTAGATTGGGTTCCCACATCCAGTATGGTTTGCATTTTGGATTCTGTGTTAGTAAGCGGGTCGGTCTTTTCGGTCTCTTTGCTGATCTGAGATTTATTTATTGCAGTTCTTGACATCTGTGGAAGGTTGGGTTTGATTTTTGACAATCTACTCCTTCTAGGTACTGACACACCCATACTCTTTTGATTGGCAGGTAAATCTTTTTCAGCAGGAGGATGTTTGCTGCTTCTGTCTTGGACTGAGTCTGAAGGGGTGCATGGCTCTGGTACAATAGGTGTGAATTCTGACTTGCATTCCAAAGAGCTGCTTAAATCAGACTCAACAGTTCTGTCATGAGGTGCAACACTTACATCTTTACGATTGGGTGAGTTTGAACCTCTAGCAACCTCAGTCGCATTAGATTCAGCCTGGGATAAAGACATGGACAAACTTTGCGTGATCAAGGAATTCCCAGATTTCTCTTCTGTTAGTTGAACTTCCTTAAGAGAATCACCATCTTCTAACAATGCTTCATCAGAGTCTGCTTTCTTTGGGGACGCTTCAGCAGCACCAACCGAGCGCCTCTCTTCAACCTCCTTTTTTTTGGAACTCTCGGCTTGGATTGTTGGAGGTGCAGTCCTTGACGATTGCCCAAGGTTTGGCTTCACTTTAGAAAAGTGCGGCACCTTTGTTGATGGGGAATTGCTATTTGAGCTCTGTGCAGTCTTTAGCTCGTCACCTATTGGGTCAATGGTTTTAACATGAGATGTGTCGCTATGCTTCATTTCTAGGTTTCCTGGGTCCACATCGGCAACAGTTTCTGAAATTTCTCCACCTGTCTGAGCACTTTGCGGTTGTGCATCAACCACAATTTGTTCATTGAAGTGGTCTGATTCATTCCCATCCGTTGCTACTCCTGAAATTAAACATTGCATACATTAACTCAATTTAAATAAAGCAAAATCCAAACATAGATGAGGAATTTAGTGGTTTCTGATGCTCTTACCTGATGTTGAGTCTTGTGTAGTCACTTCTCCCTGTGTTGACATGGAGACGTGACTAACCTTGCCGATGGTCAAGAGGGTTTGAGCCGCCTCGTTATAGCTGTCATCCTGAGAAACTGAATGTTCAAAAAAAAAACAAAAGCATGTATTAGTCTCTAAAACCATCTTGCACTTCTATACGCCAGTCTTCAAAGAATAAACTTAGAACATACATTCTGTTTGTTCTGATGTAATGATGTCGATAACATCCTGCAACAGAAAAGAAAAAAATGTAAATATCAATAGAAGAAATACTTAGACACACAAACATGCACAACTGCCCCAGTTACACGTCTCCATAATCTTTACAACAGTACACTGTGCTTTACAAATGTACTCATGCTCCTTGACAATGTCACTTTACAACCACAAACAGGTTTAAAAACTGTGAACAAATTTCCGTTTCCATTCCACAGTTATGCAGTATTTCATCAGATCAAGAGGTGTAAATACGTCAAGAAGGCACTGTAAGCTATAAATCAAACACATTGCTAAACATGCATATTATTTGGCTTTCAAGACAATACTACGTTTAATTTATGTCAAAACTATCTATTTTAACTGGAATGCACTCATGTAAAAATTTGGGTTGATATTGAGAGCTGATTTTAGGATTACTGTTGTGGCTGATAGTATATCATCATCATCACTGTCAATTAGTTGACTTCCTCCCCTCATTTATTTCCATATTCCAACAAGATAGAAATAAATATTGGTTGTCAATATTGGTGTGGTTTTAATCATTGGATAATATGATATCTTAAAAAGTGACAAACATCAGCAAATACTGATGTTTGTGCCGATACATGGGGCAACCCTGCATTTTATTTCTATGAACCACAGTATGGAACGCCAGAACACCACAACAGGATATTTTCAGTTTATTACAATTAGGTCCTTATTTCTTTGTACTTTGGGTCTATTACTTTAGCTCAATATAAATATTTTCTTTTAATTAGTTATTATCATTAAAACATTGCTTGGGCTGTGTATTTTCAAAACATTCATAAACACACTTTTGTTTTTTTCATGAATCAACATGAAGTATTTCTGGTTTATTATGAGTTTGGCAGCGCCCCCTGCTGTACCGGCATCCACACAACCCACAAGACACAAATCCACCTCCAGCGTGGAAAAATAGTAAAAAACTCTCGAGTGCACAAAAATGAAAAGATGGCATGGCTTGTAAGCAGTTTCACATAGTTAAATTCACTTACTTGTGTCTGTGTTAAGCAAAAAAATATATCTGTATATTTAAAAATGTGAAGATGTTAATGTAGGTGTTCAAATTGGTTTTGTTTGAAATGTGCTGGACTTCTTATTTTTTGTGTCTTGCAGAATGGAAACAAACATCTTTAGTACCAGCTCACAGATACTAAGGATCTGTGATTCTTTAGTACAGGGTTTGTACCACAATACATGTTGTGGTACAAATACGAAATAGAAAGACGGTTTATTTTATCATTTGAACCTTAATGTGTTACAGGTCAAAGTATTTCACAAAACAGATGAAGTACTGCAGTAATAACTCATGAAAAACAAAGCAAATACATGATCTTAAATTCTAAACAAATAATATGTTGGAATACATTTGATCTAAACTAAACATCTAAGGTTGGAATCGAGAAAGAATGAATTCAACACTAAGTGTAACTGGGGATTAAGAGTTAACACACACTATGACTTAAGCATTCGTGACTTACAACCAGCAGGTCCAACTGATGATCACATGCTTCAGCAGTGCTTGTCTCATATTGTGTCTGATGGCAAGATGAGTCAGGACACAGTGCATCTTGGGAGATGCCGAGCATATCGGGCATACTGGCCAAGATATCAAGCTAATTGTAGGAATGGGAGGGGTCAAGAGTGGAGGATTTAAAATATTTAAAGTGAAATATGAAAAAAGGGGGAAAAAAATTGTTGAAACACAAACAATGTTTTGGAGGAGAAATGAAAATGAATGATGTGTCTTGGTGGCGTTTAAGTGGGTTTTCTGCTACCTACCTCGGCCATAGGGTCTTCCACTTCTGAAATCACGGCATTCAGTGCGTGCAGGCCAGAAGACACGATGCCTTGACCGGAGCTGCAACCTGCATCTTCTTCATCTTCGTCCTCATCGTCGCTGAAGTCTGGCTTGGAGGATCTGAGAGTAACTAGTTTGGATTTCTTGGGTTTTTGCTCTGATTGCGGTTTCAGTGATTTGCCTCTTTTCAGAGCACCTTTGGGTTTGGACTTTGAGGCTGAAGAAGTTTCAGCTTCTGAGGAATGTAATTCATCTTTGCTAGGATAAGCAAAGACCAGATTGGGTTTGGGAATTCTTCCATATCTACAAATCAAATGGACAAAAGTAAGTTGTACTATAAATAATTTGGGGATTAGCAATTAATCAGTTGGGGTCTATTTTGTCAAAAGATGGATTACTTTACCTGGTGGGTCCTTGATGCTTTACCGTTTCCTCTTCCTCTTCAGAAGAAATGTCATCGCCAGAAAACTTTTCCCTACTAGCATTTGATCCATTTTTATTCACCTAAAATATAAACAGGCGTTAAATAAGAAAAAAATTACAACATAAAGAACATTTTGATGGCTTAAAATTAAAATTAATAACCTGTTCTTCTTCACTTGCATTCTTATCCCCTTGATCTGACTGGGTTTCTTCACTTTTTCTCTTTTTGCCTCGCTTCAGACCCAAAGGCAGGAGTGGTTTTGGTGCTCTGGCTCGTGAGAGCTTGGCTGGCTTGATAACCGGATCCTTCGTTGCGTTTATGTTCGGAGACCTAAATGTTAGAGAAAACCAAAAAGCTTCAATTTCAATTTCTTTCAAACACTGTTACCTTCGAACCTATTGCGCAGCATTACATTTCTGAATCGGTGTGGCTCTCGGGAAGTGCCGGCTCCGAGTCTTCGGGTACTTCACCTGAAAAAAATAAAAGAAGAACCAAAACATCAGAGGGACATTTCAAACATTTATTAACAAACATACCTTTTGAGTTCAAGAGAACCGGCAAAAACAAAACAAAAAACAAAAAAGAGCTGATTTTACTTTTGAAAAACAGTGTACAATATTATCTCTTTTATAATACTCTTAATTCTGAAGTGAAATCCGTTTTCAACTACAAAATCTGACTGGTCCACCTCTAATATTAGCTGGTTATAATGGAACAAACGTAGAAAAACAAGAGTTAGATTTTTCCTTTTAAGACCTGTTTTGCTTTTCTTCTCATTCATTTCCTCAGGCAAGGCCTCCGCGTTTTTCTTTTTGCGTTTCCTCTTCGGCTCAGAAGCAGGAGTTTCCCCTTCGTTGCGCTGGTCCTCGTTCTCTTTCTCCTGCTCTTCCTCCAAGTCGGGAATTTCGTCGTCCTCCTCTTCTTCCTCCACGTCACTCAGACGCTTTGCCGGTTTCTTGCCTGCGAATAAAAGCGAAGATTTAGAAATGAGACAAACCTATGAAACGCTTCTTTAAAAAGTCTGAGGAGTGTGTTACCCTTTGGCCTCGTTCTGGCTTTCCTTTTGTTGTTCTTCCCAACAAGTGACTTGAGTTTCTTCTTCTCTCTCTGAAACTCCATAATTTTCTCCAGCAGCTTAGAAAAGTATTCAATATCCAGTTTCCGCCTCTCTCCTACGAAGCAAACATCCTATTAAATTACATTCACCAATCATGACTCACCTACTGTCACACTGTAAGCACTTACTAAAAGCTTTGTCAATCCTCCAGGAGTTTTCTCGCTCTTCTTTTTTGAACTTGTTCTGGAGAAAAAAAAAAAATAAAAAAATATATATATATATGATTGTGCATTTAGAATAACCTCTTTATGTCTTGTAAATACACATATTACAAGTAGTCAATAATCCTACTTTTATTTCTGATCGAGCTCTGTGTGGAAACAGTTGGCAAATCATGGAGAAGTCTGTCCCCACCATGCTGACTGCCAGGTAGAACATGTCAGTCTCTGAAGAAAACCAAACACAACAAAGATATGTCAAAAAAATAAAGTAAAGCACATTACAGCCATGCAAAAAAAAAATGTAGGCAGCAATCTGTGTCGGCTGAACCTTCAATCGACCAGGGTTTGGAGTAATTAGATTTCCTGAAGCTTGAGTAAGTTGTCGTGGAGCCTCTCTCAAAGATGGGGTCTCTGTCGGATGCTGGGTTCGGCCCTTTGGCTCGCTGGACTTCCACCGTCAAGCTGAGAATGTATATAAATATATAAAACATCACTTAATTGCAAAATAAAGAGGGATCGTAACACATTGTGAAGACTTCTGCTTACCTCTCTTCATCAATGATCAGCGAGCCGTCTTCTGCTACTTTGAGCTGAGGAACCATGAGAGATTCCTCCTGGTCTTCCTCTGCCGCAGCATCTTCTTCCTCCTCCTCTTCTCTGGTATTCACTTTGGCAGGGATGACCTCAGGTATCGGAGGTCGCTCCGTTGATCTTTAGGAGTTGGAAAACATAATGTGCGTTGGAATAAAACAACATTTAAGAGACATTATGCAGCCCTCTGCTAAGACCTGCAGATGTGGATTTCAAGCAAAAATGTGTAACTTTATCCAAAATATTCCTTCATTTAATGTCGTTTAGCTTGAAGTGGAAACCAAACTTGAGACGGTGCGCTCAGAGCGTTTCTGGATGAAGGGTATTAAAGGTGGTCAAAGTTCAAACTTACTAGATTTCATGCATAATAAGCACCACCAGAGGATAATCACAAGTCATTTCTTTCACATTTTTATTTCTATGCTAGCTTTGCATAAAAAAAAATACATGCAAAACTAGCATATAAGGACATTTCCTATGGAGCTCATACTCAGATAAATTTGTGTTTATAATTCTAAAAAGTCTTGTTGCTGTTGAACGCCTCTGGTCTTATGTCATCAAGGTGCAGTTAGCCTGAACAGGCAAGTGCAAAGCAATAAGGCCAAATTTTAGCACACCACACTGACACCTGGTGGCCAGCTAAAGCCATAGCAACCTAAAGAGCAAACTATTATTTTAGTCTTCAAAAAGGACTATTTTAAATCTCTAAAAGACTAACACTTAAATTGTTTTATTACGATGAATGACAGGCTTGTTAACACTTCAGTTTTTCACGAGAAGTGTAATTAAACTCTATAGTACATTTGCTAGACTGAAGGAGTCAAGCAAACATCTGATATTGCCATTGGTTTTCTAAGTCACATCAAAATAAAATTAAGTGAGCAGCTCTCATTTATGGAGTCATCTTAAGCAGCGTTTTGCAGAATGTTCTCGATCAAAAAAACCACGGTAAGGCCATCGGGTATAATGAGACAAACACACCCGTCTCTTCTTGGCGAAGGTGGGATCACCGTCTCGTTCTCCTCGTTGTGTTCTTCCAAACTGGATCTGAAAGGATCAACAAATCAGTTTTTTAAAAGGCAGCTTCATTCACGATCACGAAATATCATCTCAGAGATGCTGACCTGGAGAAAATGTCAAGAAACGTACCTCATGGGATTGGACGTAGGAAGGTAATGGATGAGGTCTCTCATGGTCATTTTTGTTGGGTCTAAAATGAACTCCTTTCGACGTCCTTTAGCTCTTTTGAGGTTCTGCAACACAAAATTATGCCGTATTGTATTTACATCCAGTAATACCGGTGTTGATAGCAATAAGAAAAACTTTACTGAAGCTAAATGTTTTCTATGCTGAGAATATGAATAATCCTGAGCTAACCGTTTCTTTGCAGCGCTCCTGCCTCAGCAGCTCTCTCAGCCTCTGAGTCTTTAACATCCTCTGTACGTCTGATGGGTCATTCAGGAGTCTGCTCAGGGACATCGCTGATGGGGTCATTGAAGTTACATTTTTTGATGATATGAGAGTCTTTGCTTTCTCTGATATTTCTGTAGCTTCCTTATCTGGTATGGAAGGCGGCACTCTGTCGTGTGCTCTTGAATGAACTTCCTTGGCCTGACCGGTTGAAGTGTTTTCCACTGGTTTGTTGCGGTCTGCTGGCAGATGGGTTGGCTTTGGCGAGTCCTCTGAGGGCAAATCAGACGAAGGTCCTGGTTTCTCAGAGGAGACGGGGTCAACTTTTGGTTGTGATTTGTGCTGCTTTGCTTCTTCAGAGAGTCTTCTTCGCCTCGGGGACTGGAGTCCTCGAGGGGCTGCCGTTTTCGCTGGCTGACTAAATGTCGACGGCTTCTCTAGATCTGACCCACATACGGCGTCACCTGAAGGCGAACTGACAGCCTTGACGGGGATTTTGGTGTCCGGGAGATGGACGGAGGCCGTCCAGGAGCCACCCTGGGCTTAATGGAGAAGCGCTTCCGTCTCTGGACTGATGCTGAGGAGCTGGCGCCGTCCCCGCTCTGGTCAATGCCGTCACTAAACAAATATTTGAAGAGTTAGTTTGGCTGCTCAACGTAAAAGAAAGAGCTACAGATACTCGAGTAGCTTGAGTCGACGCTCCAACTCACCCTGCACCGGGAGCATTTTCTGATGGGGTCACGTCAGAGTTGCTTGCTAGAGAAGCGATATGGCTCTCGTTTGGTTCCTTTTGTGTCTGACTTGTCTCCTGGCTTGCTGCCTGGGGTTCTTGAGGCGTTCCTGCTGTCGTTCTCCCGACCGTGCCGACATTGGGGCGAATACTGAATCTCGACCGACGAAACATTTTAACCTGTAGACCAAAGATCAAGAAGAGGTACAGTTAAACGTGCAAGACCAATTTATCCAGAGACAGCAAGCCATTATTTAACAACAGCTTTAAATGTCTTTAAGACAGACATTTAAAGAGGAATTAGCTTAGCTTGCATACTTCAAAAATATTCACTCAACCACAATTTGCTAAATATTTAAAGAATCATATGTATATCCTACCACAAAGTGACGTCCTTAGCTGGGAACTTCCAAGTCCAGAGTTACATGTTCAACCTGATAACAAAATAAAATCAGGATTAGTTAATAAGCACTAAATCCTCACATACTCTCCTATACAGCTGTGATAAAGTGGTTTATCGTGCTATTCTTTGCCTTTTCTACCTTTTATCACTGTAATTTCAAACATCCACAATTTTATACACTTTCATTATTGACTAGCTCTAATAAGCATCTTGTAATATAAAGAAGGGATTAATAAGTACATAGATAGCCTTGAAAAAAATTTTTGTATCTCTTTGAACATTTTCACCCATTCTGTCATATTACATCACAAACCTTTAGTGTATTTTATTGGGAATTTATGCAATAGAGTCAACACAATGTAGCAACAATGTTGTGAAGTAGAAAGAACAGTTTACATGATTTTCAAGACATTTAAGAAATCAAAATCTAAAGAAAAATTGCTTACAGTTTTACACATCTTTGCATAAAACAACTAAATATTAGTTTGATTTATGAAAAAATGCTGCAGCTTCTGCAACACATGGAGAACAAATACATATGTAAGATGTGCTGTTCTGATCAGATGATGACTAAACCGAGCTTTGTGGTGTACAAACACCATATGAAGTAACATTGCACATCTTCCTTAACAGGTCATGCCTTGAGTGAATGATGGTGGTGGGAGCATCATGTGATGATGATTGTCTTCAGGGCTTGAGCAGAGCATTGATGAGAACAAGGAGGTAAATAAACATACAGCCAGAACAACAGAACTGCTCTTTCAGGTATTTGTCATGCCAGTGTCCTACTCAAAGTCTGGATTTGAATCCCACTGAGATTCTAAAGCATGACTAAATTCAATTTCACATAGCCAGACTATCCACTTTCACTGCAATGCTATGTAATTTTGCAGAAAAGAATTGGCAAAAAGTACAGTCTAAAAACAATCAATTCATTGTTTTTCCTTTAACTTAACATTTACGCATTTTTTTGTTGTTGATCTACGACTAAGAAAAGGCAGTAACTTTATGGTTGTAATGAAATAAAAGGTGACATCAAACGTTTGCAAGGTTGTGTGTAAAAGATTGATCTGTTTCGAAAACAATTTAGCTTGATTGCCACCAACCGTCTCAATGCTCAGCTGCAGTAAACATGTCATCTGTTACCCGGAAACCAAGAAACTGTGTTTCAGCAATGAACAAATAACCAACTTGTCCAACTTCTGCACCTAAACTAAGAATGTTTTGACTACAATCTACCGCTCTTCCCAGCTAAGTCCCAGCTATTCGGTTAACTGTCAAGGCCAGCGATGTTCGACACATGGAAAAGCGTTCGGGGCTAATCTGAACATAAGTCCACTGAATAATGGAGCGACCACACCTTCGTGGTCTTCTTTAACGCGCCAAATAAATCCCACTTTTTCCAATAGAAGTAGAAAAGTGCTGACCCCGTAACAATGCTTCAGCGTGGCAGCCTGTCTAAGATGTAGCTTCATGCTATCAAGGTAGTGTGACTCAAACGGCCGCAATAATCTCACCGACATGTTCGTGACAACATACCTGTTCGATAGCATCCCGTTGTCTTGAGCAAGCAAGCCACAACGTATCGAAGAAAAGGAACGGGTAGCGGATCCCGTGCGGTTACTAGTCCGCCATGTTTTTTTTTTTTCCACAACGTAAATTCTCTCAGCGACAAGATGTGTGTGGGGAACGTAGTCTCGCGATACAACCGTTTGGCTGAAGCAATATGAGACGGTACGAGAGAAACCACAAGCTTGTTTTCTTGAAGTCTTTTGAAGGTATTATAGGAGTTCTAAGCATTTCCTGAGTGAAATATGACAAAAAGGAATAATGACATTTAAAGAAAAAAAATAAATTCATATATTGAATATACATTTTTAAATTCTGTCAAATTTGGAGGAGGGGGATATTATAAAGACTTGAGATGTATACATAATGTTAAGTTTGTTATAGCAATATACATCACTGTAAAATATGAGGTTTGACCATTACTATTTCATAATATAATTCTTAATTGCTTCATTGCAAAAAAAAAAAAATCTGCAATGTTTTTTTTTTACAATATTTTGTCTGAAATAAACTACACCAAACTTAATCATAGGGAAATCATATTCGACAGCTTCAAAAGTCAGTGTGAAAAGAAAAATTAGTAGGGCTGATGTTCAAACCTTGCACTTACATTGCAGCTCTATTCAAAAATATTGTCAAAACAAACTAGTCAAGCATTTGTTTGGACCCAAACAAATAAACAGAATATAATTAAAGCTATTAACATGTTTTTAGGTACCTGTTCTCACCGTGGGTTCCCAAAATATTGTTCATGTTAATTCACAATCAACCACAAGATGGCAGTAGCTCAGTATGTGAAAGGATCATGAATGACCTGGAACCTTTTCACATTTTGCCATTTGTAAACAAAAAACTTCAACAAAACTTCATTTTCCCTTTTCCTATTATAACAGAATCATACATGATCAATTTAAAACATAGACTCTTCAGACTAGTTGGGTAACTTCTGAACGTAGTTGGCTGAACTTTATTTTATTTTGTAGAATCAAACTAAAGGGGCCTGGATGCAAATGCTTGCCACAGTGCTTAGATATATTTTAGTAAAAAGTTTCGAAAACCAAGCATCATTTTCATTTGACTTCACTGTTGGCAGTCTTCTGTTAGTCTTTGATACAGAGGACATAGATTTATTAATGTGATTAAAAGCGATTTACACAAGCGGAGCAGATTTTGTATGTGTATTTGTGGATGTGTGAGACTCACAGCCACAAAGCGGTCAAATGTGAAGATGTGGAACAGTGTCAAGAGTCACTTTAAAGGTTTGAGTGCCCCATTGTTCGCATCTAAAAATATTTTTCACTTCTCTTGCGATGTCGCAGATCAAAAGATGCTCACAACTTTATTTTGTGCCGTTGGCCCCTTCGAGAACTGCTCTTTGCATTTGACAGACTAAATCTTGGACTTATAATCATCCACAGTTCCTTCGATGTTGGAAACAATTGTTGTTGAAATTCTGTTCATATTTTCCAGGATAAGTCGGCCACTTTTAAATTCGACGTGTACAGTAGTGTAGCACTCTTTGTGATGTACCTCGAAATAAAGATGTCACTCATCCAGCATTGATTAAAAGAATCCATGAGACTGACGTAAAATCTAAAAAACTTTCAGTGCCCATTTACTGTTTCTGTCCATCCATTTAAAGAGAGTAAACTGTTCAAAATAGTCCATAAAAATCCAAATTAATAGAAAACTTTCACTTTTGTTGAAGCCAGAAAAGTATATCAATGTTGACTTGCCTCTTTGCCATTATTGTACACTCCACTGAAGTTTCATCATGTTTCATTGGACATGTCTCTACTTGAACAGAACTGATATACACTGTTCAATGGACTATAGTTTTATTTATTTTTTACTTTTCAATTTTCTTTTGATGCATTCCTATAAAGTAGTCCTCTCCATTCATTCTGGAGTGCAGCCTAATTTATTCTCAAAGAAAAAGCAACTGAACATTTGTAAACTCCCGAATGTTCCTCTTTTTTTGAATCATGATGCTTCCTCTGTGTCACAGGCTGGTGAAAAGTCACTTACCATTTGCACTCATGGTGGTTTTAGAACTCCCATGTTGGTCAGCGACTCACTTCTTCACACCGATTGTAATGCTTTTAGAGCATTTGAAATCATGCAGATTAAGTCTCTGCTACTGAATGTAATGTGCATAATTGGTCTAAAAAAACAATTATGTCAAATTAAAGCCCCTGTCACAAAAAAAAACATGTTGATGTCACTTCCATGTTTAGCAGGACCTAAATACCAGTGCCTCAGTTAACATGTAAATTTACACAAATGCAAATCTACACTTTCATGATTGTATTCATGTAATTCACTTACGGACGAGGCTGGTCCCTGTTTTATGGAGTGGACATGTCTACCTTAAATTTGTTTTTGTTTTGTTTTGTTGTGTTTTGCTAAATTCAGTACAGAATAATACATTGAGCATGATTTTTGTCTGAGTTTACTGCAGATTCAATGAGCAAATGATCCTTTGTACCTAAGTACACAATAAAAAAATTGACAATTGCAAAATTACAATTACACACTATACCATGGAATTCATCCATCAGTTGGTATATTTGGTGGAGATCAGTGAAGACTTTCCTGTTGATTTACATGTTTGCAGACACTTAGAAGTTTCTTCAAACTGTGGGTTTCTTGAAACCCACGGAGTGTGAAGCGTCTGTTGTTCCTTCATTTGAGGAACCACAGAAAAGTATTCCTCTTCCTGTCTTCAGAAAACGTCTCCATTTGGTAGATAGAAGTGCGAAAAGAAACTGTCTCAGTCAAGAGCCAGATGGTCAGCTTGAAACTGTTGATGCTTGTGATTTGGTATTATCCAGATAAGACACACTTTATTGTTCCATGTGGAAAATTTGTTGCAGGTGATTCTTCAGTGACTGTGAAACATGCAAACACGCTGCAAAAAAGATAAGAAACATGACAGAAAAGGTAATAATTCTTGTTATGCTAAGAGGACATGAGGCGGGTCCTACACGATCTTTTGTGCCTGTTTGAATAAATCTTCATTGAAAGTTTCACCATCAAGCATGGTTGCTATGACCAGACTGGCTGGTTTTTGTATCCCAGAGACAACTGATCCACTGGGATTTCTAGAGAAGTCATGTACAATAAGCCTCCAAATACACAACAACTGCATGTGAGAAAGATGTCACATCTCAGTACAGGTTCTGTTACGATCATTAGCACAGAGATATTGCCTATTAGAGCCTTCCTTAAACTTGCTCAGAGAGTGGTTTGTGTCTCAGTCATGGGGCGCAGTCAATGGAGGAACTTCCTCTTTCTTCAGGCTATTGGTGAGATGTCTGTTCAGCATTTCTCTGTTTCGCTAGAAATGTCAAGCTCACTTTCGGATATGTGTATTGAACAAAAGATGATGTAAAACTGCACACTGTTTTCATGATTGCACTTTGCTAATTGTTTGCAGCCGCCCATGTTTGTGTCTTGCATTCTGCTGCTTCAGGTCAGTCATGTTCACAAAGCAAACCTACTTTCAAATTTGTTTTTCTGTGTCCACAGTTCACACATATGTGATCTCATGTTTATCAGTGTCTATTGGGTTTAAAAGTAACCGGTGCTATGGACAAGTTCGAATCGGAGACAATGATTTGGAAACGTTCGATGATGACAGATGGGACTTCAACAATAGCAAAGTGCTTTGCACAACCTCCAGTTGTGGGACAGCAGTAGAGTCACAGAAGACACCCACATCAAAAGAAACCCCGGATTTTTTGTGTACGGGAAATGAAAAATCTTTTGATGAATGTCAGCGCAGGAATAACAAGACCCAGAGCTCTGCCAAGAAGGCAATTGTTGTCTGTTCAGGTAAGACGCTCAGTTATAATATACATCACAGGGATTCATTTTAGTCATAGGGTCATAAGGTTTAAAGCCATTTGCAAAGCTTTTGTAATTTTTACTTGTCTTCAACTTCATTTCCTTAACATTTGATCAGATGATGAACAGTCTATTCAAGTTTTATGGTCGTTTGATTTTAAAGGCTTACTTGGATTGTTTTTGTATCGCTTTCGTTTCTTTTTTCTTTTTCACATTTTCAAGCTCTACCTACTCGTCTTAAGATCCAACAGTGCAAAATATAAATGTTTGCCATCGTTTGACTGGTCTTAAGATTTTAATTTGGAGTGGATGTACAAATTTATAGCTTTGATTGGTATTGTGCATTTTGAGTTTAAATTTTTTTCCCCAATTTGTGGGAAGAAATGTAAAGTTTCACCGAAAATAGTTTGAGCCTCACTTCCAAGTGGCATCATTGCTCTTGTAGAGGGGCGCATCTCAAAAATGAGTGGAATAAGTTCATTAAGCGGAGCGAGACATGTCAAGCCACCGTTTCTTCTCATTTTGACAGCAAAGGATTACAGATAACAGAAATGCAAAATTGCAAAATCTTGAAAAAAATGAAAACATGAATATTGTCCAAAAATTCAATACTGTAACGTTGAGGTGTCACAGTCTGATCAGCCAATTAGCCTGAAACCCACCCAAATGTTTTCTCTCAGTCTGGGTCAGGAGGCGACATAATCAATCAAGACATCAAGACATGACAATGTCACAGATGTACAGAAAACAGTGATTTTCACCCTCCAAGAGGAGGCTAAACCAAAAAAGTCACTGATAAAAAACAAAACTGAGTGCTCTGTCAAGGCATATTCATCAAAATTTGAGTTGAAGGGATAAAGAGCTCTAAGAAGAGCTAGTTGTTTTCTTTGCAGTCCAAACTCCACTTTTCTGATAAAAACAAAGTTTGCGTTTCATTTGGAGTCTGAAGGAAGACTGGTCACAAATTTGTTTTGTCTGAAGTCAAGCGAGACAGCGGTCGACCGTGAAAGCATCTAGTCTTAGACATTTCCTATGACTGGACATTTTAGCAGTGATGTCTACTATCTGATTTTCCCCAGCGATCAGGTAGTAGATTGCTCTAGATCTTCTACTGGTAGATTTAGAGCAACCACCTGGTGCTCTAAATCTGCCAGGCGGTTTTAGAGCACTTTATGACAAACTTTTTGGATCCTGAGTCGAACAGGACTTAATAAGTTCCTACACTGTCAGAGGTACAACAAGCAGGTTCAATGACTGTGGTGTTACAGTGATTGACCAGCAAACTTACCTGATCTGAACCTTTTGGAGAATTTATGGAGTACTTACAAGAGAAAGATGAGACAGTGGAGACGAGAAGGTCGCCAACAAAACAACTTGGGCTTCATTTACACCTCAGCAGAACCACAGGCAGGTTTTCTCCGTGTGATGCTGCACTGACGCAGTAATTTATGCAAAATATGTTGCAACCAGGCGCCAAGTGCCTGGAAATTATAAGCTTCCTGTTTAAAATATATATAAAGATATTTTTTATTTTATTTAATATTAAAATTCTCAGTTTTTGTTTTTTTTTCTTATCTGTAAGCAATGCTTACCAAAATAAGAAAACAAGGCTTGCAATATTTCACTTCGATATAATGAATCCACTGTACAGTTACAATTTTTTTCCATTGAAAATATTTTATATATATATATATTTAATCCTTTGTTTGTTTCCAGATGCCATTTCACCACCCAGAATCTCACTGACTCTTCCTAATGGGACGTCGATTAACTCGTCACACGCAGAAATCCCCAGGGGTTCCAGCTTCTCCATCAAGTGCGCAACTGACTCAATGCCCGGCACATCGAAACGGTTTTTCCTTCAACATAAAGGCAATTCTACAGAAATACCCAAATTGGAACCCGACCAACAAGCTCTTTTTGACATTTTCGTGGCTGATTATAATAACGAGGGCAACTATACCTGTACATATGCGGTGGACCTGAATGGATCGTATGAGTCTGCTGAGTCAGCACAGATTCATGTCACTGTGAGAGGTAAGAAGACAAAAGTCACAGTGAGTTTCACCTCAGGGACCAGCACTTAACGCTTGCATTTCCGTGGTCATTTTGCGCTTGCTAAATCAACACCAAGATAGTTTCAGCATCAAGATAAGCTGTTTCTTGAGGTTAGCACCCTTATAAAGCACATTTTTGGACGCACAAACATTATCTAGCAAGACAGCAGCTTAGCACAGAGATATTGCCTATTAGAGAGGGAGTGTAGAAAGATATTCTGAGACAGCAGTTTCAAAACAGCATTATTGCAAAAAGCAGCATTTCCTAAAACAGTAGAAGTGATCGCGTGCTTAATTTCACCATGAAAACGCGTAGGGGAAGTGTCAAGAGCCTGTGCAACATCAATGTTCGTCATGCACGTTTGAAGAAATCTGTGTTTGTTTGTTCAACTCTTAAGATCCATGGTGGAAACTGCTGCTTTACATATTGCCTGCTGGGGTCCTGGTGCTTCTCCTGATGGTTTTGTCGGTCGCCTGCCTGGTCTGCAGAAGAAGAAGAAAGCAGGCTGAACAGCCAAGCGATGTGGTCTTAAATCAAAGTGAGTGCCTATGTCCAAGCCATGCATTCATTCGACGTCTGACAGCATGAGTAAAAAAAGAAGACCTGTCTGCTTCTTCTCATAGCTAATGTTGCAGTGACGGTTAGAAGAAGTTACACAGACGATGAGGAAGAAGAAGAAGAGGAAGAGGAAGAGGGGGACTATGTAAACGTCAAGCCAGCAGAGATCAACAGTCTGGGAACTGAGGAAATGGACGAGAAGGACAATGATTCACATGACTATGAAGACCTGTCACGGGGTAAAAGTGACAGCAGTGATGATGAGAACGACTATGTCAATCCCAGTATGGGTCCGGTTGCTGCAAGGGACGGCACAAAAGAACAGAGTGAGGAAGAGGACAGCAGCGACGACGGGGAGGACTATGTCAACTTAGTGGAACAAACTGTGGATATATACGGAGAAGAACTGGCTATTTATGACAACCTTTAGACAGTACATGCAAGAAAACACAAAATCTTACCCGGTACTTTTTGCATAGTTTCTAGAGCAAATATCTCCTCAAACTTGAAATAAGACAAGTAACTTTGAAGCAAGATATAAACGCTTGTTTTAGATAAATAATTCCTTCATACGGATGAAAACAGTGTAAGACACAAGTGAATTTTTCTGCCAACAGAACAAGTGCTTTTTCATTATTTATTTTTTACTTAAAACACAAGCCTGCGTGTCGTGCTGAAAAGTTACTTTTGAGTAGGTTTTGTCTCATTTCAAGCGTAATAAGATATTCACACCAGGAGCCAGACCAGAATTCCTTGGTAAGATTTTGAGTTGTTGCAGCGTAGCTTGGAGAAATCTAACCAAGTACCTCAATAATATTTTCTACCTAAACGCAGTCACAGATCAGTTCTGCTGTTGATGTTTATTAGTGTCGGTCACTACAGACACCACGCCTTTTCCATGAACAGCCAGATTTTGAATTTGAACTCCTTCCTTTTCTGCTTTGCTTATAAATGACAGGATCTATTGGCAGAATACTCAGTTGAAAGATGAGTCTACCCAATGTAAACACTCAGTTGTACTCAGTCTAGGACTTTATCTGTCAAAAGTAAGCTGAAGTGATTATGTTCCTCTTCAGAGTGCAGCCTTGCTGAGCTCCTCCCCAGGCAAGAGTGCTAATTTATAACCCAGCTTTTCTCTGAGAGGTGGGTAGACTGAGATTATGAACCATTTAGGATAGTTAGCTTAGCTACAGACTACCGTTTACTGGCATTTAATGGATTAAGGAAAAGATATTCATATATTTAGCATATCCCTGTACCTTTCACCACCTAACAGATGAGTCAGACAGCAGCAACTCTAACCCTCCTGATCTGCCCTCTAAGTGCAATTAAAGCTGCACTGTAACTTTTATAAAAATATACATTTTTCACATAATTGCTAAAACTGTCATGTTGTGACAGCATAGTACAAGATAATCTGTGAAAAATCTATTTCCTCTGCTTTCTCAAAGTGCTAGAAACAACCAATCTGTGGCAGGAGTTTGTGCTGTCAAACTCATGTGGCTGCTCATCCCTATGCTGCAGCCAGCACCGCTTGTTGTGAATGCTCTGTCAAGTTAGCATTGCTACCAATGATGGCAGATAAACAATTTGTCTGAAATATGTTGTTTCTCCACCATAAGTGAGTGAATGAGATTGAAAGAAAATAAATAGTGTCAAAATAACCAGAATCAGAAGGTCTCACTGTTGATCATGGTTGTGAATGCACTGCTCACAAGCTCAAAAATCTGTTTTCTGCAACTGTATAAATAGCCAAGAAACAGGAACAAGTTTTTCATTAGGCGTGCTTACTAGCCTGCACATCCACAGCAGGCTCTGTTGTAGGGGAGACAGTTTATGACAGATGAGACTCCAGGCTCAGATTGGTTCCATCCATCATCTTACAGCCTTATTGGGGATAAGGCTGTAGTTAGATGAGAGGCAGGGCACACACTGGACAGGTCACCTGGTCATCAATTGGTTGACAAAATACAGTACTCTAGATCTGTGTTGTACCACTCAACAGAAATATAGTACAAACACTTTCATCTCAAGCAGTGTGATTTTAATAGCTTCAAGATTCAGTCAATTTTGCCTTTAGAAATTGTAATTCTTGCTGAAACCATCAGCAATTTTAGACTGAAGGACTGCTTAAGACTTTAAAATGTAGGAGAATATATATATATATATATATACACATACACATGTCCATGTTCTAAAAGAGCAAGCCAGTCACTTCACCTTTTGTAGGATTGACAAGCCAATTATAATTTGATTTGCATCAGTGCAAAGGAAGCAACAGATCAAACAATTTACTGCATAATTTCTGATTTATTTCTTTTACAAAGATAGCATGAGCAGTGAACATTTAAACATCACAACTGTTTCATCAGAAGATCATACCAAAACATTTACCAAGTGGATCAGTCAACAGGAACAACAAAGGCTGGTGTGATGGGGAGAAGAAAAAAAAAAAAAATGGGTGGTTCAGGGACAAGAATAAGTTCATTTGGATTGTCTTGCACAGGGCAACTTGTCCTGAAGATAAGTTTGAGGTGGAGAGCTTTGTTTGCCCTGCAATTCCTTTCACTGTAATGCATAAAAGAAAAATGAGTCAAGTTTGCTCCCTTAAGATGGAGACAGGAACAAGCAAACAGCTACTTACTTATGGGCCAACCTGTGGTCAAGCAAAAGGATTTCCAAATGCATCTCCAAAGGCATTTGTAGAACCAGAGGCCTGAGGAACTGTATTCTGCTAAAGAAATGCATTTCATCACTAAGAATATCTGAGAGAATGCAACATCTTACTGATTAAGTTTCCTTACCAGTGGTGCTCCAAAAGGATTAGGATCCGGGGCGCCAAAGGCTTTATCAAACATGTCTTGACCGAAGCCTTGCCCCAGTGTTTGTGCCGAATTGTTGGGAACTGGAGCAGAAGTAAAGGCGGCATCAAGGAGGTCAGGAGTCAAACTTGGAGCAGGAGTTTGAACAGGTACTTGCTTTGCAGCATCTAGAGAGAAACTTTGGCTTCTTAGAATGTATTGTTAAATGTTCTAGGAAGGCAATACCAGCAATGGCTCCATTATGTTTTGTGAGTTCAGAGAAAAGTCCTAGGCTGACTAGCGACTCAAATGCCCCAATTTCAGGAGCAACAGGACAAATGATGATATGCTTGTTTTCCAGGTCTCCATCTTCTAGACCATCTAAAACTCAAGATGCATTGATTGGACCTGGTCAATACATTCAACACAACCAGGAAAAGGCCAGCCCCTTGCTCTATGTTTTGACCAAGGAATCTTGATCCTCTACTTCTCAAAAAGGATTGCTTGCTAGCATGGACTCTGAAGTTTAACATTACCCAGTCACTCTCTAGAGGAGAGAGAGGGGAAAAAAAAAAAAGTTCAACTTCTATATGTTGAGTGGCCTGGTTGAAAATTTTCCTAAGAAATTCAGCTCAATGGGAAAAAACCCAATTGAGGGTACATCCAACTTACATTTTTTTTAATATAAAAATCCCATTCTGCGTTATAATCAACAGATAAGAGAACCATTACAGATCAATCTCACTTTCAGAAAATAAATCCCAATTATTTTTTTCAAACCCTGAGCCATCTTACCATTAGCAAGCGAAGACAGCCGACTGATGTCAAAGTCATCGTGGTCTTTAGCCTCCTGGGCCACACCCACTTTATTGGAAAAGTATTCATCGAAGGCCCCTGGCTCTTTGTTGGCGGGTGCAGCACCGCTTGATCCAAGTTCCCCTTTCCTGGCTGGAATAGCAGGAGGCTTGGCAAGCTGGAAGTTTTTGAACATGTCCTTCCCACTCTTCTTCTCCTTATCACCAAGAGGATCCAACGCAGTGAAAGCACTGTTTTCCACTCGGGCCGGAGTCTCCTTAGCAGGCGGTCTCGGAGGGGGACGTGACGGACTCTGGTCTCCCATCATTTGGAAGGGGTTGGAGGCACCCGGCTGAGCCCACTGGAGGTGAGGCGGAGAGAGGGGTGGGGCACTGAACTGGGGTGCCACCTGTGGACCCCAGACAGGGGGCTGCATGGCAACGGCAAAGGGAGCTGGTTGCACAAAGTTGGGTCTGGGGCCAGGAGCAGCAATTCCTGGCATTTGATACATTGTGGGTGGAGCAGGGGAGGAACCCCACATGCTTATACCAGGTACACTCACTGGTGGACCCAACTGAAGATTGCCTGGATGTACCCCCCAGAAAAGATAACAGCAGTAAGTTCACAGTAAATTTACCCAAACTTGGGGAGAGAAAAACAAAAACAAAAAAAGCTCATTACCCAGAGCAGCTATGGATGAAGGAGCAACATTTGTAGGGGTACTGTTGAAAAGGTCAGCTGGAGTTGTCTCAGTAGCACCAAATAGGTCTGCGCCAAACAGATCACTTGACCCAGCCTAGTTACACAAAAGATACCAATGAGGAATTTTGTCCACAACACAGAAATGCAAAAATATTTACCCAAGACTGCTCAAACGTGATCCAACATGCTCAAAATAAAACTCAGATTACTGATGTGTAAGCATGCCTCACTTACCAGTGCTCTTTAGTCACTTGAAGCATGAATGTTAGAAAAAAAAGTTTAAGAGCCAAGGTGAAAAAAAAAAAAGCAGGAAAAAAGTGGTCGTTCAGCAGCATAGTCAAAATGCAGCGTTTCAAAGCCGGATCAAACCACCAGTGCAAGCATAGAGACAAAGAACAGTTCCTGAAAGGTTCAGAAGTCACTCAGGCCTTGCATGGCATCTACACGCACAGTCAAACCGTCCTTGTAGAACCATGAAAAGGTGATGTTAGACATAAACCCCAGTCTCATGCAACCCCACTGTAACTCTACCGGCAGTGTGATTTCACCTTTGCATTCCTTCGACCTCGTCCAGACTTAATGTTCTGTGGAGGTGGGCTTAGGACAACAGAGTCGTTGCTATGGGTCACCGATGCGTCTGGGTTACTTCTGTTGTAAGAGACGGGGGCCGTTTTCAAAGAGTCAAAAAATGGGTTTTTGGCCGAGATTCCTTGTTGACATTCATTCCCGTCCATCATCGTTATCCCAGTGCCCTGTGTTATACTACCCCCTAGTGGCCACTGGCCATTATTAAGTGCAAGGATCATTGATTTACTGGATAGTTCATTCCTCTGCAGATTTTGCCCAGTCTCTCCATTTAAACTACTAAGATTCGTCTTAACGGTGTCGTCAGAAGTAACGTTATCATTCGTAGGTGGCTTATGTGCATTATGAGGTACAAAACTACTGGGTTGACTGGAAAGGGGGTCGTCTCCAAATGGATCACTATCTGGAGCAGGAAAGTAGCCAAAGGTTGATGTATTTTTTGAATTTGTAGGTGCTTCACAGTCAGGGCCAAGGGAGTTCGGAAAAGATGTATCCTTTATGCAATTTTGATTGCCGTCAACTCCAGCAGAAAAGTCCAGCAACAGAATGTCATTAGATTCCTGGTTAACATGGACAGTGAAAGAAAGAGAGCAATCAATTTCAGAGAGTGCATATTAACAATATGAACAATCACATGGTGTGAGAGACAGGTTATTTAAAGCTGCTACAAGTCAAAAGTTATAAAACACATCAGTGTGCAAATCCATTTGGCAATTAGGCCAGAAACTCACTCTAAGGATGTAGGGAGGGGACCAAATAATATCTGTAGAATATGTGCCCACATAGGCTTTTAATTGAATTTTTAAATTATGTGATAGACAGTCTGGTGTTACTGTAAAGTACAGTAGCAGTGTGATATGCATTTGTATTCAGCAATTACCAGATTGTCCAAATCACCACCAGCTTTGCACAGTTTGAGACCATAATCTTAATTCTTTAAATAAAATGATCTTTTTCAAATCCTGCCAAAGATCCCAGATTAGAATACAAGGCAGTCACAAAAACAGCTGTACATTGATAGTGACACTCCAGTGGACCATTAACCAATAGGCATCTTCTGAAGGAGTAATGACAGCTGAAGACAAATTCACACTTGCATGTTCAGCTTTTTGAAAGCCTATGAATAGTTTTCCCTCCTACTTCACGTTTATGCACCGTTCTATATTTAGCACTGAAAACCACAATAAAATGCATCAAGATTTTCTCCCCTCAACATTTGGAAGTTTGAGTAGGAAGACTTTTGGAAGTTTATTAATCTTTGGAAAATATCTTCCATTTAGTGAGGGCAATAAATCTAAACTCATGCACCCACCGTTTTACTTTTGTTTGTGTCAATCATTGACTAAATAAACACTGATAGTTTCTTGAAGCAGCACATTAAAAATGTTCAGGGTTTAAAAAAACAAAAAAAAAACTGTAAACCTTGTAGCAGCTTTAATGTTAAGATGAACTATAAGATTGGTAAAGGGTGAATTACCCACATTCTTAAAGGTTGATTACCTCCAGAAAAAGAAGAAAAAAAAAGTCCAATAAAGTCATTTATAAAAAAAATTGAATTTTAGTAAGTGTTATGACAAGACAGTGGCTCACACTGATACAAAGTATTAGTACGATGCCATAATAAGAATCCAAAAATAAGAGTTTGTCCAGATGGAGATAAAACAGCAGCTGCAAACTTACTTCTGGAGTCCTGATGTCTGGGGGAGTTTTGATGTCTCCAAAAAGGTCGAGCTGCTCCACTGGCTGATTTTATAAAAAAAAAAATAATAAATTAAAGCCAACACACAGAAAAATTTTTAAGTAAATCCCAGACGCATAAGAATTCCTACCTGTGCAGGCTTTGATTCATTACCATCACAATTCTAATGAGAGAAGAGAATAGTAAGAGAAAGTCTAACTTTTCTGAAAACAAGAAGCTTTGGTGAGCTTACCTCTGCAACTGCAGAGCCATTTTGAGCCTGTGAAGAGAGATGCAATGTCAATGATTATACCTTCAATAAATTTTGCTGGAATGAACCTCGTCAGTGAACTAGA